TTTGGGGCTGCTGCTGGTTTCACCCAGATGTCATGGTTCCCAATACAGTCATTGAGGTGATAATGTTTAATATTTAATGCCTCTTTAAGTGGAGTAAAAGGCTGAACTGGTAGGCTGCATCCTATCCTAGAAAAGCCTGGAAAGTGTTCTGGAGACATGCTGTAAACATTGCATTTTGGCTGATTGGGTAGTTACCGGCCCATCCACTCACCAGCTTTACAACAACAAGATTACCTTTGTATGGCACCTTTCATGTCGGGAGGACGTCCCACAGCGCGTTTTACAATAAAGCTGGGACGTCCCCCCGACGTGAAAGGCGCTATACACACAAAATTTTGTTGTTGTCGTAAAGGTAAAACCTAATTTGAGATGCCGGGTGTTTGCTGCGAGACTGTAGTTAATGACCTTGTTTGAAGGTCAGAAAACCCATCACCGTTCACTTTAGAGTATCCAAACCAAGCTGAGATTTCCACGCATCCCACCGACACAAGGGAATGCCAGAGAGAGATTGTTGGAATGGAGTGCGCGCTCCCTCCCTTGCTGGGGGGATGCATCCTACTTACCTAATTCCGGAAACTATTAGATTGCTATTATTTGTTTGAGAGGCTGTTCACAGCGACTGGGTGCGGAAGGTTTTCAGTGCCCTGCTGAGTGCACTTGCAAGTCGGAAAATAGGTTTCTGTTTGAAATTACCCTGAGAGCACACACAGAGAGATTCCCTTTGAAATTGTGTTCCTCTATTCAGTTTAATATTTAAAGAGCTTTGCATAGCATTCCTGAATTGATAAACAAAAGGCAAAATACTGCAGACGCTGGAAATCTGCAATAAAAACTGAAAAGCAGTCGCTGGGAACACTCAGCAGGTCAGGCAGCATCTATGGACTATACAAATAATAATCAATAATCCTTGCATTTGATATAGCGCTTTTCACGTCGGGAGGACGTCCCAAAGCGCTTCACAGAAGACACTGTAAAGTGAATTGACTGCATATTTGTGGGCGAACGCGGCAGCCAATGCGCACAGCAATGTCCCACAAACAGTCGTAGATTGAAAATGACCAATTTATTATTGTTTTTGGTTTTGGAGGGATTATTATTAGGCTCTGTGTGGAGTAAGGAAACTTGCCTGAGGTTTCGCCCTCTGCCTGGAATTGAACTCAGGTCTCTCACTTGCAAAGCGAGTGCTCTAACCACTGAGCTACAGGACTCCACCTGTAATCTTGTTGTTGTTATGGAGAGAGGGAAGGTCGGAGGCGGGCGAAACGTTGGGCAAGTTTCCTTAATCTGCCCTCCACTGTTTACTTAGCAATAAATACTCGATCCACGGCTGTTTGTGGGGACGCTGCTGTGCGCAATCGCTGCCGCGTTTCACCCGCAAAATATACAGTCATTTCGCTTTACAGTGTATCCTGTGAAGGGCTTTGCGGCGTCTCGAAGACGTGATAAGGCGCTGTATCAAATGCGAGGATTATTATTTGTTAGTGTCAGTATGCTTCCTCTTTAGGAATGTGTTGTGCAGTTTTGCTGAGACACTGTAGGGTTCCATTTCTGGGAGAGCTGTTCTGATTGTAATGATGAAGCCAGACAAGTACTCCCGAGGGAGAAAGTGAGGATACGATTTGCAACCGAGCAAACCATACGATGCATACACTTCTAATTGTTTTCTTGGCATGCAGCCATCTGTAGGTTTGAGCAGATCGCTTGCTGGCTAATGCATTAGTAATAATCAGACCGTCCACCATTCCCATTCTTCTCCCATCTGTGCGGCAGATGAAATGCATAAATGTATTAGCTGAAAAATACATAAAAAGCAAGTAATCACACGCCCAGATTTATGCCAACGTCAGGAGAATCCTGGGGACTGTATCTTCCAGAAGGCCCGCTTCATTTTCATTAATAAAAAATACAGTTTGAGCCTCTATTTATGATTGTTTACATATCTGAACATTTCCTCTGTTTGTGGCAATCGACCAACAACAACAAATTGCAGTTATATAGCGCCTTTCATGTCAGGATGATGTCCCAAGGTGCTGGGCAGTCAGGGGTTTGCACCCAAACAGGGGTTTGGAATCAAAAGAGAGGTGGTGGCCGGATGGGTGGGGGGAGAGGATGACTGATGAGGATGACTTGGTCAAAGAGGACGGTCTTGAAACGGGCCTTGAAGGAGGCAATGGAAGGGAGCGAGGCGAAGGGATTCCGGGCTGGAGTTCTCAGAGAATGGGGGCAGAAAGGCTGAAGGGCCGCCTGCCGGTGGTGGAGCAGGCAGGGGGAGGACATGCAGTTGTTAAGATGTTAGTAGGTCGCAGAAGTAGGGAGGAACAAGACCGTGGAGAGCTTTGAAAGTGAAACCGGGTGTCGATGTGTAAAATCACTTACTCTTCAGTCTTCTCGAAGCTGCTATTTCAGCACATTTTGTGCTGTCGTATCAGTGCTGTGGATGTTTTCTGTGCTGTATTTGGGTACGAGGTAAAACAAATACTGACGTTAAACGTTTGCCCGAGTGCAGTCATCTACTGACATTGTATTTATAATAATAATAATAATAATCGTTGCATTTGATGTAACGCTTTATCACATCTTCATGACGTCTCAAAGCGATTCACAGAATATACTGTAAAATGCGTCCCACGGTGTCCCACAAACACTCGTGGAATGAGCGACCAAATTATTCTTTCAATAAAAAATTGGGGGGCGGGAGGGATCATTTCCACCACTGACTGTCTGCCCTGGATGCCCAGTGCTATTCACCACCATTGCGTTCAAAAATAACTTTGTCTGGGAAAATCTCCGCCCACTTTGTCATCGCAAAGTGAACGGATTCCAGAAGGCCATTCTCGCCCATCCCTGGATCTCCCACCCCCCCACCGGGAATTTCCTATGTAACTATTGGCAAATCAGTCTGTTACGTGCAGATATCCACGACTGTTTGTGGGACGCTGCTGTGCGCAATTGGCTGCCGCGTTTCTCCCACAAAACATACAGTCAATTCACTTTACAGCGTCTCCCGTGAAGCGCTTTGAGACGTCTCGAAGACATGATAAGGCGCTATATCAAATGCAAGGATTAGTATTATAATTATCTGCCTCACCACCTCTTGTTCTCGGAGCCTGCGAAAGCCTTATTTATGTGGCTTGCTTTTTCCCCAGTTAATTTTAACACAATTGGAAGATTTGCTATTGGGACTTGCTGACTTCTGTGCAGGCGTAGGCTTCCTTCCAGTGCTGTCTGTGCCCGTTGCTTAGGTTCATAATATATCCTGTTGTAATCAGCAATTTCATATTTAATAGTTTCTAGTTTCAGACCTACAGTGGAGTCCTGTAGCTCAGTGGTTAGAGCACTCGCTTTGCAAGCGAGAGACCTGAGTTCAATTCCAGGCAGAGGGCGAAACCTTGGGCAAGTTTCCTTACTCCACACAGAGCCTAATAATAATCCCTCCAAAACCAAAAACAATAATAAATTGGTCATTTTCAATCCATGACTGTTTGTGGGACATTGCTGTGCGCAATTGGCTGCCGCGTTCGCCCACAAATATACAGTCAATTCACTTTACAGTCTGTTCTGTGAAGCGCTTTGGGACGTCCTCCCGACGTGAAAAGCGCTATATCAAATGCAAGGATTATTATTATTATTATTATTATTACAGGAGCATTCAAAATGTAACACACTACGAGTTAGATCCAGAGCTGTTTGCTGAGAGAGGTCCCAGGAATGGAATAAAACGGGAATGGTGCTAAATTCCCGTTTCCGAAAAATGGATGAAAACTGGTGAAAATTGTCAGAATAAGACTTTCAGTGAAGGGGTTAAAGGCCGATGTTTCACTGGGGCACTTTCAATCCAAAAGGAATCGTGTAGAAATAGGCGAAATATTAATGTCCATTTTAATCAGTTGGCTCCGTTTCAAAGACATTTATATAATCTTCCCCAAATCACAAAGCGCCACAAAGTTCCCATGATTTTGGTTCAAGACAAATATCAAAACAGGAAATGATAGAACAATAAGCCTGGAAGCTTCAGACAGAAATGAATGAAGCTGCTAATAAATGCACTTAAATAACATTAATCTAAGAAAGACCAACCCCAGTCAGTAATTAACACAAGTTTCTCTTAATAGCTTCAATTAATCTGACATAGGAGGTGGTGAGTGTTTTCATGCAGCCTTCTCGCTCACTGTCTCTATCAGAACAAGCGCAAGAAAGGAAATCTCAAATTGCCTTTGTACCATGTAACCTCCATTTTTAGAACTGGAGCTTTTGTTAACTCAGACCCCTGTTGCTGCCAATTGTTCCCCACCCATAATTACCACATCCGCAGTAAGTTTTGAAAACAGTGCTCTGCGAGGCTTTCCTGCCTTCTGATAAATGAACAGCCATCACCGGGCGCCACCTTGTGTGACATTACAGCCTTTACAAGCAGAAGCAAATCGTTTCAGTGACTGTTTGAAGAGGATTTTATTCCACCTCGCAGACTATTATAATAATAACAACAATAAGAATCATAGAATCATAGAATGTTACGGCACAGAAGGAGGCCATTCGGCCCATCGAGTCTGTGCGGCTCTTTGACAGAGCAACAATCCTTGCATTTGATATAGCGCCTTATCACGTCTTCGAGTCGTCTCAAAGCGCTTCACAGAATATACTGTATATTTTGTGGACAAAATAGCACACAAAGTTACTCACTCTTAGCACTCAGCAATAGCACCACTCATCAAATTCAATTATTGTACCACTACAACACGTAGAATATTATTCAACTGTTTGGGGCAGATCTAAAATCTGTTGAATTGACTTTCTCAGTTCTATTAATGTGTGACACATTCAATAATTTGAAATACAGACTCTCACTCAGGTTCATATAACATGCACTGGGACAACTGGTCCTTTAAAACATTCCATTAGTTAACATTTTCCACATGTTAAAATTATAATCTGTTGTTGTTGATTGAATACGCTACGAAAGGATGTTTAATTTGACTGTCATTTTATTTCCAATTTCCTAGGGCCTAAAAGTAGCAATCAGATGAACAGTAGCATTACTTCTGAGAGCTGGACACATCATTCACAGACTGACAGCACCTATATCACAACTGGAGAGGACACATCTACCACTACTACATCCCCGAAAGACACAGAATTGTCTACTCATTTTACAACAGTTACCAACAGTTCACAACTCGATCGTTCATCTTCAACAGACACTGGAGAGACTATCACAAGTGATTCTGAATCGACGAGTCATTTAAGTATGACCATGCTTTCAACAGGAGCTTTATCTATAGATGTCTCAGACTCCATCAATCGTTCACCTTCGGGAAATGAGCTTCCAAGTGGCGTTGGAGAATTAACAAGCCAGAGACTTGTCATTGATTCAGAAAGAACTTTAAGTACTGCAGCAAATACTTCTGAGGTGTTTGCAATCACTTCACTGAATCTTTCTGAACAATCTTCAAATACTTCACCGATTATTTCGGAAAGATCTATAGATATTTTATCGAATGCTTCTGAGGTCTCATCATTTACTTTACCGAGTCATTCTGAAAGGTCTTCAGAAACCTCGCCTAATATTTATGAAAGATTACCTATGGTTTCTAAAAGTTTTATAAATATCGTACCAAATAATACTGACTTATCTTCATTTACTTCACTGACTGAATCTCAAATACCAAATGAAAGCTCTTCAGAAACCTCACCTAGTATTTCTGAAAGATCGCTGAGTATTTCTGAAAGTTCATTGAGTAATTCTGAACAATCACTTAGTATTTCTGAAAGATCACTGAGTAATTCTGAACAATCACAGAGTATTTCTGAAAGATCACTGAGTAATTCTGAACAATCACAGAGTATTTCTGAAAGTTCATTGAGTAATTCTGAACAATCACAGAGTATTTCTGAAAGTTCATTGAGTAATTCTGAACAATCACAGAGTATTTCTGAAAGTTCACTGAGTAATTCTGAACAATCACAGAGTATTTCTGAAAGTTCACTGAGTAATTCTGAACAATCACTGAGTATTTCTGAAAGATCCATAAATACTGACTTCTCTTCATTTACTTCGATTGATATTTCTGAAACCTCATCCAGTGTTTCTGAATCCTCACCTAGTATTTCTCAAACATCACTGAGTATTTCCAAAAGATCAATCAGTATTTCTGAAACATTCCCAAGTATTTCTGAAACGTCACCTAGTACATCTGAAGCATCATTGAGTATTTCGGAGAGATCCATAAGTACACCAAACAAAACTGAATTATCTTCATTTACTATCCCGAACAAACCCGAAAGGTCTTCAGACACTTCAGTTAATATTTCTGAAAGATCTGTAAATACTGTTACAGTACAAGATGCTTCCGATAAGTCTTTATTTACTTCACTGGATGATTCAGAAAGAACTTCAAATAGTCCATTGAATGATTCTGAAACCTTTTCAAGTCCTGCTGAGCCATCATTCAGTACGTTATCAAAGGAGTCTTCAAGTACTTCATTGAATGGTGTCGAAAAGCATTTAAGTACTTCGGCAAATGATTCTGAAGGTTCAATGGATGCTTCAACAATTAGTCCTGAAGAGGCAAGAGATTTATTTTCGACAATTTCACCCGTGGATTTGAATGACATCAGCAATGGTTCAGACGTATCAGCTTCAGCAACTGGTTCACAGTCAACCAGTCGCTTACATGTTTATCCAAGTGTAGCAACTGTACCTGCTATTATAACAAGTACTTCAGTTAGCAAGACAACGGATGATTTCTTAAATACCACTTTTCTTTCTACGGAAAATAACACTAACTTGATGGTTACAACTTTATCTTCTAGACACACAGATTCAGAAAGGTTGCCTGATGATTCTACGAAGATAACTTCCTCTAGTTTTAGCGCAATCAATTCTTCCAAACTGGATCTAGTGGTATCAGAAACTGACAGTCTTCTTAAATCAACCCAGTTTCTCAGAACAACGGCACAAAATACTCTCAGTACAGTAGTTCCTGGAAGAACAACAGACTCTCCAGGAACTGTAGGACATTCAACAACAAATGGAGATTTATCATTTTCGACCGCAGGGCTGCCTGTTACAGAAACAAGAACTTCCTCAGCAAAAATTCTGATAACACCTGGGACTCAATCCATCACAACCTCTGCACTTTCACAAACCCCCACAGACACTTCACAGACTCCAGAAATTAGTACGGTGGGAAGAGAACTTACCAGTGAGAGGACCAGTCCGGCAGCTTTGACCAGTACTTTCATAGCAAGAGAAACCACAGAGATTATGCAGGTGCTGCCTACAACTGCCCTCATTGAAACAACTGAACCAACCAGTACAACAATTGTGACAAGCACAAAGATTTGGACTAGCGCAAGGTCAGCAAGTGTTACACCAAATGTAACTCACTCAGAAACCTCAACCAGCACATATATTCCAACCAGCACAGAGATTGCTACCAGCACAATGCTGTCAACCAGCACAAGTAGTCCAGCTAGCACACATATTCTATTCAGCACAACGCCTCTAACTAGTACAATGCTTCTAACTAGCACAGGGATTCCAACCAGCACAAGTAATTCAGCTAGCACAGAGATTGCTACCAGCTCAATGCCTTCAGCCAGCTCAATGCCTTCAACCAGCTCAATGCCTTCAACCAGCTCAATGCCTTCAACCAGCTCAATGCCTTCAACCAGCACAATGTCTCCAATCACCACATGGATTCCTGCCAGTACAAGGACTCCAACTAGCACAGTGATTCCCATCAGTACAAGAATCACAACTACTAAAGAATCTGCTCCGGAAACAACAACAATAACAACAACAACAGCAGTGCTTCATATTACCAATACAAGTACATCTCAAATGTCCACAGTATCGGCAGGTAAAGTCGCTTTCAAGATTTCGGTGACCATCACAGTCTTAAAATTCAACTAACATGTTATGTTCATTATTTTATGGTTTTCTAACCAGTTTGTCTCAGTTGGCAGTATTCTTGCGTGCGGGGATAGATTCAAGCCCTCCACCAGGATTTGAGTGACGTAAAAGCAGTCTTATTTGCCTGAGGTGACAACTTGGTTCAGTTGGTAGCACTCTCACCTCTGAGTGAAAATGTTGTGGGTTTCAGTCCCACATTGGGACTTTGAACTCATAGTCTAGGTTGACACTCCAGCGGAATGAGGCAGGAGTGTTGCATTATTAGTGTTTCAGATAATATTTTTAAACTGAGGTCCTATCTGAGAATGATAGCATCAATATAGACAGTGCGAAATTCAAATATATGAATATATATGAATATAGCTGTTGATTAAGCCGTTGATAAATTTATTAGAAAATGCTCACTTTGGCTAATTTCCTCATTGTCAATCTGTTGTGAATCCGTTCAGTAAATACTTTGGGTGTTTATATACTTTTTAGTTTTTAAATCTGAAGTATAGGTTGGTTTTAGACTTGATATATAGCTATTAGTTTAACATTTCGCTTTTTTTTATTACTTTTAACATTTTTTAATGTTTTTTTAACATTTCACTTTTGTAATACACGCTGCAGATCGGATTTCCCCCAAGCTGAGATTCTGGATCTGACCCTGATCTCATTCATGAGTTGGCATTAAATCTTAACCTGACAACTTCAATGTTTTTTTNCTGGCCTGTATTTTTATGTTTTATGCGCGATAGGGTGAGGAAGAGGCTTCCTAGCTCTCGGATTTTGGACTGAGGACTTGATTAAACATCTCGGACTGTGGTCTCCTATCAGTTTGGGAAAAAACAGGGAAAGTTTCAGGCCAAATGTTCCTTCGATTCATCTAGAGAGTTGGTTCTATGTAGCGTCTTGGGATGTCCTCCCAACGTGAAAGGCACTGTATTGGATCATGTATGAAGACTGATCTACTGCTGTCCCACTTGGGTGAGATGGTAGACAAGTGGTTAGCTTGTGACTAGTTTTGGATTAAGCTAGGATGTTATTGTTATAGTTTGTTCTTAGAAAGCAGGTGCTACCATGCTTCAGAACCTAGTAATGATCAACCAACTAAATCGCCAGTTTAAATAAGCTAATTACTGATTTTATTTCATTTTGTACAATTTCTTTAAACAGAGAACCTCTGCATCTCAAATCCTTGTCTGAATGGTGGCACGTGTATCATTCTTGATAATAACAGCAAACAGTGTGTATGCCCACCCAACTGGCAAGGAACAGACTGCAATGAAGGTAAAGTGTTTTCCTGTGCTTTCTTACCAAGGCTTCTAAGTCCAACAGCAAATTAAATTTGTATAATCATGTTAAGTGATATCAGTGACTTTCCAGTGAAACACAAATCTCGTTCCTTAAATCTACAAAGCTTTTTTTTAATTGAATGTGTTAATTTCTTCTCTCTTCCTTGACTAGATGTGGATGAGTGCCTATTAAATCTCTGCCCATCTCAAGCACAGTGCCTTAACACCCTGGGCTCTTTCACCTGTAAGTGCCCTGCGGGGTATTACCTCGAGAAAGGAGCAAGATGCACTTTGGGTAAGAAAATACTACATAGTTCAGCAATATCTCTGTGACAGAGGTGAACGGACATTGTTAAACTTGGCTTCTCTCGATTTGGCATCAAATGTTAGCTGTTGCCACGTGTAATGATGCTTTTTTTCTGAAACCTGTGGGTTTTTTTCTCCGTTCACACACTGTGGCTTCACTTTGGGTGGGATTGAGGTGGGGAGGAGCAGAGGTAGGGATAGGGATATGGTTTTTTTCATGACTATTTTTTCTCTTTTCTTCCCCGGTTCTGCTGCTCTTAAATTATTAGCAGTGGTCGTGAAGATAAACGTCTAAAACCTTTGCACTCGCAAAATGCATCTGACCCCTTTGTGCAACGTATATGTCACAAGATCAGTTCAGATGAAGAAGACCCCTTGATCTCATCCTTCCATTATGTCCACCCTACCATCTTCCCATCACAGCATCAAGCTGTGTTGTTTTTAAATGAGTCCAGCGTCCTGGCCTCAGCCACACTTCCCAGCAATCTGTTCCTGCCATTAATTATCCTCTTGAAATCGTCCTTTACTCCTATCCTCTAGTTTTACTGGCTAAAGGCAAGTTTTATTCTCGGTTTACTTTTTCAATCCCTTTTATGTTGATTTGCTTATGTGTCTGGGTTACTATGTCCTTTTATTCCCCTTTTATAATAATAAATAATCAGTGCATGTGACGAATGCCTGATCACATTGAGACGTCTCAAAGCACTTCACAGAATTTTACTGTGCAGTTCGGTGACTGTGCATTTGTACGTAAACTCTTAACAAATTTCGCCCACCAAATACACAGTCACTCCACTTTACAGTATATTCTGAGAAGCGCTTTGAGACGTCTCGAAGACATGATAAAACTGTATCAAATGAAAGGATTATTATTACCTGCAAACGGAGGCAACTTGCTATGGAAATTGTGGCTGATTCGGTTCTGAACCTTTATGATTTTTTCAGCAAGAAAATACTTTGACTATATATCAGAATATTGCTTTACCAATAAGTTTGTACAGATTGTCAACTGGTCTTGGTCTTCATTATCTTTCTGCAGCAAGAACCTTTGCAGGTATTTTCTACATGGAGCGCCCCTTCACCATCAAATCCCGAATCTCAGGAACTTGGGAGCTTGAAACAAATATTTTAAAAATGGTGAGTTTGGTTTCAAACTACAAAAGCAAGCGATACAACATATACAGTCAATTCACTTTACAGTGTATTCTGTGAAGCGCTTTGAGACGTCTCAATGACGTGATAAGGTGCCATATCAAATGCAAAGATTATTATTATTATTCCTTCCTAGAAAATGATTACTGCTACTCAAAATAATCACGTTGCCTGTTATTATTTAATTGGTTTATTTTAGAAGGGTTGAAACGTGAATTGACCGCTTTGCCTGAGATTGTAATCTGGTCTTGGAGGAGATTAGTAGGAATTTACAGCTGTTTAAATGAGTTTGTCCCAGCCCAGTTAGAATGATTTATGGACCTTAATCCTAGTTTTGACCACTCACGCTCACCATCCATCCACCCAGCTTTACAAATCCATTTGGATTGCCTTTAAGAAGAGAAACATTCCTGGGAATGCTAAAAATATGGTGAAACTCCAACAAAGTACAGCAGGATGTTTCCTCATTTCCTGAGGCCCTATAAGAGGATCAGCACCAACATTTCAATGTATATTTTTGGATTAGAACTAGCTATCCCAGTGCTGAAAGGTTAATTATTATTGGATAGTTTATTGGTGTTTCTGTTGTGTAATTGCCTTAGCACTGGTTGTATTTCTTTCAACTCTTACTTTCCAAGTTGATGTTGCCATTTTTTTTTACTTTCCAATTCCTGTTGTTTCTTTTCTTTCCTCTGGATCTGAAGATATTAAACTGTTTGTGCTAGTGATAAGGGGAAGAGCATAATCATAATAATATTAATACTTATTAATAATCCTTGCATTTGATTTTGCACCTTATTGAGTCTTTGAGACGTCTCAAAACACTTTACAGAATATACTACAAGGTGAATCGACTGTATATTACATGTGAGAAACACGGCAGCCAATTGCGCACGGCAGTGTCCCACAAATAGCTGTGGGATGATTGACCAAATTATTATTATATAATAACCGTTTGTTAGTTTCCCACATTTAAGAAATCTAATTTCCCTGCTCAAGTTCACAATGTGGATGCTCTAACACAAGCCATCGCCTTCTCTGTATGCCTTTCTCTGGTGTGACGATATAATATCATAAACAAATGCAGCACAATTTTCTTCTTTGACAAAAGGTATATTCCTCAGAATTGATTCCTCAGAATCAAGGAGCTTTTGTTAGAGATTAGAGTGAACTGGCAGCAGAATATGGAGTTTGGCTCCAAGGATATTTTACTGGGTGAACAGCCAACTTCACAATTCTTTGTTCAATCTTGGAGCCAAGGAAACCTTCACTTGGAAATAAAATTGATCTTTTTTTTGAGAACCTAGGAGGGATTTAAAAAATCTATAAACAAGTACCTCATTCCAGCATTACATGTTTTATATTTTTTTCCTCCCCCCCACAGCTTAATGCTTCTCTGTTTTCTCTAAACGGCTACCATACATCTGTCGTTGTCGAATTAAGGTAAGCTAAAGTTAACTATTCCGTACTACGTTGTATGAAGTAATACGGCAAAGTATGAACATTTCTCACCCGAATTATACTAAAGTGACATTGTTAATCATTTCAAATCTGATTTACAGCGAGCCTGACGTCAGCATTTCTGTCTTGAATATGTTTATACTCTCATCCAATGTTACTACCTCAGAGGTATTGAACAGTGTACAAACTTACATAGCAAACTGCAGGAATCACCCTGGAAGCTGCCAATTTCTGCACCATTACCAGATGTTCTATAAAGGTAAAAAGCTGCAAAGTCGTATCATCATTGTTAACACTGTCAACAACAGGAAAGGTTGGAGTTGTGGGGGGTGGTGGGTGGGGGTGGGCTGGGGGGAAGAAGGGAAAATAAGTGAGAGGAAGGATCCACCTTCAACACATAATTGGTTTAATAAATATTCACCTGCGCTGTACATTTCACTCCTTTACTGTAGCGTTAAATAATAAAGCTCCCCTTTTTCACAACCACTTTCGGGGGGAAAAAATAACACTGACTTTTTCCTCTCTTGTTTTCTTTCACAGATAAAAAATTATGTAGCTTGAAATTTCCTGAATGTGACAGTGCAACTGCAGAATGTAATGATTTTAACGGGATCGCAGTGTGTCAGTGTAAAGATGGTTATTTCAAATACAGCACCATGGATCATTCATGTCGAGGTATGTGATCGTTCAGATGTAAATCCTACAGGAATCTCCATGCTGCGTTTTGCCCACAAATACACAGTCACTGTACTTTACAATATATTCCGTGAAACGCTTTGAGACGTCTCGAAGATGTGAAAAGGCGCTGTATCAAATGCAAGGATTGTTATTATGTCCTCTGATTCGACTGTTCAGTACAAGATAAAGCAGTTTATCGTGGTCTACATTATCTTATCCCTTCAGAATTTGAAAGTTTGAGCTTGCATGTTTATAACTGCTTATCATGAGGCGACAACGCCAAGTGCTTTACCGTGGTTACTGTCGAGTACAGTGACCACTTTTGCGTGTAAAGAAAGATAGTACAAACAGCCATGCTGTGAAGAATTAATTTGCACAAGTTGCCATGGATAGTTATTATTGTTGATCAAAGGAAAACTGCAGCCTTTAAAGTTGATTTCTTTTTAATATTGAGTACAAGGCATGAAAATTGTTTAACTGAAACATGTAATGATACTTGTATTTTCATCTTGATCCAGCATGTGATGATGGCTACAAATTAAAGAATGGAACCTGCATCCCGTAAGTAGTGTTGCAAATGTTCTTTTTTAATTATAGCATTGAAAAGTCTGCTCTTTGAGAAAATCTGAGCATTAATTTCTCTCGTGCTTTCTACCTGACAGTTGCCTGTTTGGATTCGGTGGATTCAACTGTAAAAATCGTAAGTTCACACAGTTTAGCTTAAGCTTTTCATGATTTCCGACGTTCAGCCAAGATAGGTGATGATTTTTGAGACGTCTCAACACGGAAATAAGGTGCTATATCAATGCAAGGATTATTATTATTATTATTTTAAAACTTTCTTGTAAAAGTTAATTGAGCCTCTAAGTTTAATTGTCCTAATTGTCAATTAAAAGTGCTGTCCAGCTCATAATCATTAATATGAATCACTCTGTGGCCTAACCTGTGTGAAGGTTCTCTTAGTGATATGATGCTGGTGCCCTCATGATTAACATTTGATGCCATGTTTGGAAAGAGTAGCACTGATATGCCAATTTCATGATTAATTCTTGGGTCATTTCAAGTTCTTATCTAAGTGCTGTTCTTGGCACTGGGTTGTTAAAGTGGTTCTTATGCCATACGTTCCTTATGTTTTGACCACAAGAGAGAGTCAGGTTTTTCATAATTTCAACATAAAAGGAAGTGATGAAGAGTCACTTTTTAATAAGAAGTTGTGTTTCTGCCGCGAGCGAGCGAGTGAGTGAGTGAAATATTTGTAGCCTTTGGTTTCACGAGAGTTGTGTGAGAATTGGTCATTTGAAAACGGGAGGTTTTGGGAGATAATACTAATGGATAAATCACTATTGTATTGTGTCTCTCTCTTCATTTCACCCCCTCAGAAAATAGTTCATTTGCCATGTGTGGCATGCTAGAGCCTTCCACAGATTGGTGAAGGGAGAAGAAAAGAAAAAAAGCAAATTTAGGGAGAAAAATATGGCTTGTGTTCGATCACATTCATAATTAAGACATTGACCGAAAATATGGCTTTTCCGAAATTTGATATTCAGCCAATTTCACTTTGTATTCCACTCTCCACAGCACCAATGTGAGGCTTTTCACATCTTCAAGAGACCTCAGGAGTTGGATTGGAAGTGTGAAGTACTCACTGATTCAGGCCTTTTCAAATCTATTGCTGCTTTAGAACTCTCGGATAGTCAAAGCAAAAAAGGAACAGTATGATATTGTGTACTGGAATATTGATCCCATTGAATCTAAAAGTTGATGTTATCTGTTGCCACTAGTTACAAAGCAAACATTGTTCTCATTTTCCATGCACTCTTTAAAGCCACCGCTCCTTATGACCACAAAGGTTTGTTTTCAGCAGCGATAGTATATTTGAGTTCCACCCTAATGATGAGCCAGCTGAATAAGGTTTTCACTACCATCACTGCTTGTATCGGAACAGTTTCTCTTGGGTGGTGGAACTCTCTTTTTCACTAAACTTAATTAACCCAGGCATCCAATTTTGAGAGACAAATACACGAAAGAAAACAGTTGAAAGGAAATTCCAAATACACGTCCAAATTCAAAGTTTGGTGACTTTATCTCATGTAGTCATAAGCATGAAGGCAGCTAATTAATAAGCAATACAGATTTTATTGCATTTATTGATGTCTTGTCTTTATTCCTGATAACTGATGTGGGTCAATCCAGATTAAATTATTTTTTCTGTTGTTGAGATTGCAATGGTATTGCTCGCTGTCCTTGGAGCTGTTGTAATATAGGAATGCTTTGTATTATATTAACATTAACACTTTTTTTCCTTTCCTTTTAGCTTATAAACTCATCACTGTGGTGATCGCTGCTGCTGGGGGAGGATTGCTGCTTATCCTGGGCATTGCACTAACAATCACTTGCTGCAGGTGTGTACAAGGACTCACTCTTTGCCTCCATTTTGGAGTGGAGTCCTGTAGCTCAGTGGTTAGAGCACTCGCCTCGCAAGCGAGAGGACCTGGGTTAGATTCCTGGGCAGGGCGAACATTGGGCAAGTTTCCTTACTCCACACACTCACCTCTGTTCACCTAGCAGCAAATAGGATCCCGGTTGTTAGTCGATTGGTGGATCAGTTTTCTGGAGGATCAGTTTTCTGGGGGAAATAATCCCTTTGAAAAATATAAATTAATAATAATTGCTTCACTCAATCCATGACTGTTTGTGGGACACTGCGTGTGCAGTTGGTTGTTGAGTTTCGGCCACAAAATATTCAGTCAAATCACTTCACAGTATTTTCTGTGAAGCGCTTTGAGACGTCTTGAAGACGTGATAAGGCGCTATATTGATTACAACTGTTATTATTATCATAACTTTGATTCATCAGGTCATAGCTCATCATACCAGTAGCTTCCTGCGCAGAGGTGAACGGAAAATGTTATTAAATTGGCTCATGTTTTAAGCATGATGCACTGCATCTGCAAAGATGATAAAATTCTTAAACTGATAACATTTTTAAAATTCTCCTTTGCTTATCTTGAAGCGTTTTATAACCCAAAAGGATTAAGAATTGGGGAAAAGTCCATTTTACACCTCCAGTTCATTGTTTTTACAACCCAAGTTTCTCGCGCAAAATGTCACACCCTGTAATTCAGAACATATTGTCCCCTTATATTTGGTATTGTGCCTTGCACGTCAGGAGGATGTCTCCCAAGCGCTTCACGGGAGTTATTGTAAAGTGTAGTGACTGTGTATTTGTAGGTGTACACAGTAGCCAATTTGCGCTTAGCAATGTCACACAAACAGTAATGAAGTGAATGACCAATTTTACTTTGGGAATTCTTGGTCAGGGCATCGGGAGAAACCCCCTTCTTTTTCTTCCGGGACCTCAGTTTAACATCTCATCCCCAGGACAATACAGCACATCCTCAGCATTGCATTGGAGAGTCAACTTAGACTATATGAGTTTCAAATCCTGACACGTGGCTTGAACCCACAACCTGAGTACGAACTCAGCCAGGCTGTCACTCAAATTCATCTGAGTAAATTAAATTAATTTACAATGTTTGCTCCTTAGACCTTAGCTTTGATGGTATATTTTGTACATGTTGATTTAGATATTTTTTTTCCTGGGCTGTTGAAATCATTATTGATTTCACTTAGTTAACTGGTTGTTTGGTTACTAAATTAATAGCTCAGTACCAATTTAAAAAATGTAAAGCTAAACAGGATTTTACATAAATAATCTATTTTAGAGACACAAGGCTAATGTTTCATCTGAAAGACAGTGCCTCTGCTAATGCAGAAACAGCACTGTCTAGAGCGTCAGCCTAGAGTATGCGGTCAAATTCCCAACGTTGGAATAAAATGTGCTCCTAACACATTGACAATCTTACTAACAGAGCCTGCCTCAGCCCGGTATAGACTCAACATGATAAAATATTGAACCAATTAAGAAATAGTAGCATTTCAGTCAATAATTTTAGATGCAAATGTAAATTCGACTTTATGGTTGGAACTGAAGCTGACCAAAACCAATGGTCTTTCACTCAGGTCACAAATTTCTGGCCCAACTCAATAGCAGCATCAGATATTTTCCAATCAGGTATAAGAACATAAGAATTTACTAGGCAAAAGAAGACCAAGGTCCATCTAGTTCTCCTTCCACCATCCTGGCAGTCGCTTGAGATGTCATGTCCCAAAATATAGACTATCCTGAGATATTATTTTCTAGCAGGAACCTATCCAATTTGTGCTTGAAACAAGCGATACTTTCTGCTTCCACCATCTCTGGAGGGAACCTGTTTAATAGGTTTACAACTTGTTCACTGAAATAGTGTTTCCACAGATTTGTTCTGAATTTACCCCCTTTCAATCGCAGGCTGTGTCCTCTGGTTCTACTCTCACATGAAGCAATTTGCAAATGTAAACCAGCAATAAATACTAACAATTTTTATGAAATGGTCTTAATATTATAACTGTGTTACTATAAGCTTAAGCTTTTGTTTTCTTATTCTCAGGAAAGGTAAAAAAGATATCAGAAAACTGATCTTCAAGGGTGAAGATTTTCAGATGTCTCCATACGCTGATTACCCTAAAAATCCCAGGATATCTGCGGAGTGGGGCAAAGAGACGATAGAGTTGCAGGAGAATGGAAGCACAAAAAACTTACTGCAGATGACAGATGTGTACTGTTCGGTAAATATCACCCCCAAAAATACAACTGTCGGAATGCTTTTAACAGGGATTTCAATAATTTGCACCAAAATACTGTCAGTATGGAAATTACTTCCCATCAATTATTCCTAATTCACTCAGGACTTCTCTAGATCTTTGTGTTGTTTCCTACTTTCTGTTTTGTTTCTTTTTAAAGTCCTTTGGACTTTGCATCCAATCCTAGTGATTCTTCTGTTGAGCATTTCACAATATGTTCATCAACTTCCTTGACATGGTCCACTCCTAATGTCATGACTAAACAGTGATTTCATCCCAAGTTCTGTGAAATAGCAATGACCCTGTTATTATCACGTTTTCAGAAAAATATTTTTTATGACTTTCCAAAGTTCATTCATCAACTATTACCTTTTAATGTCCTCTCTTAATCCTTCTTTAATCCTTCTGGTCTCCCTATCTTGCCTCAACAACATCAACTCATATATTACTCATATATTTTCTCCGTTGCTGACACTGTTTCTGGTCGTCTCAATTTCATCTTTTTATTATTAAGCATTTATTATTTCTGTTTTTCTACAAAAGACCAATTCTGTCCCAAGATCTGGACCACGGCCTCCAAATATTGGTGGGGGAGTTCTTAGTGATGACTTGTTTTCCTATCATGTTATTGATCCAGTCCTCTATATTGATGGACTGGCTCAATTGGTTAGCACTTGACTCGGACTCAAAGGTTTGTGGGTTCAAGCCTCACGTCGGGAATTTGGGCATCATAACCTACGTACTCCAGTACAATGTTGCAGGAGTGTTGCATTGTCAGAGGCGCAATCCTTTGGGTCAGATCCTACACTGAGGTCCTGACTGCTTGTTCGAGATCCTCTGAAAAGAGAAGTGAGCTTCTTTAAGTCTTAAATCCTGATGGGTAATTTGAACCCTCAACCTTCTGACTCAGAGGTGAGAGTGCCACCAACTGAGCCCGGCTGACAGACAAACTCGCTATATTAGTATTATACAGTGATTATTTAAGCAGTGTCCCCGGTTCTGTATCTGACCCTGAACTTGGTATGTTTAAGTTCTAGGCTTGTTTGGCAATTTAAAAAANTGTAGAGAGCAGGAAAGAAACTGTTGGATAGATAGTCTTTACTTTAAAACTTTACCTCTATAAGAAAACAAATCTTATAATAATAATAATAATCCTTGCATTTGATATAGCGTCTTATTACATCTTCGAGACGTCTCAAAGCGCTTCACAGAATATACTGTAAAGTGAATTGACTCTGTAGTTTGTGGCCGAAATGCAAATGCCATTTGGTTCTCCTTCAATCACTTACTGTTGTGTTTTCCTTTCCAGTCTGGATTGAGAGTGTCAGATGTAGACAGAAATGGACTGTATCCTTACACTGGTTTACCAGGATCACGCTATTCCTGTATCTATCCTGGACAATACAATCCGTCTTTCATCAGTGATGAAGCCAGAAGACGGGACTATTTTTAACCAAAGAATACTACAGATTTATTTTTTAGCGTTGCACCAGAACTTGGCGCATCGAAGCAAAAATAAAGAGAGATGATCTACTGAAAAACAGCTGAATGATGGTAAAAGACTGGTGGAATGTGAAGAAGCCCTATACAGTCATGTTGTCAGCAACGACCTTACGCAGTATCACACTGTGACCAGCAAACAATCAAGTGACATACATCGACTGCACTGAATGTCCTTATTTGCAGCGACACTCAGACACGCTCTGCTTAACAAGTGGGCAATTCCTTTCTTGTTCCTAGTTTCCTGATAATTGGTATTATTTCATTTGACGAAACCGCTGCCAGTATTATCAACCTGACTAAATAGTAATGTTGCACAACTCTAAGAGACACTAATGGTGACAAATTGGTGGAAGAAATAAGCACTATTAAGCCATAAACCCAAGTGTCTTTACTATTGTATTGTTCCAGTCTAACAGGAATTCAACCACATCAGTATTATGGCTGGAAACCTCAGTCTGAATTTGAAAGCCTGCTTCTCAATCACTTTACATGCTTACGGTGCTTGGTTCACATGATATTTGCGCTGATTATTAAACTAGTTTTTCTTATTCTTTCCTTTCTCGCTAATGCACAGCTTCTGTCGGAAGAACATGAAAACCAGCATGTTCCTCCTTAACTCTAAGGTATTGTACAGCACAGTCAATGGAGCAGAGTTTTTCCAAGTTTAAAAAAAAATGTTGCATTCACTTCCCATGTCAACTTAACGCGGGGGAACGTTGACCACAGATATTGTTCAGTACTAAACATTTTCAGAATATTGAACTCAATGATTTCTGATCGCCAGAGACTGAGATTGCAAGGAAATGATCTCAAAAGATGTTATTTATAACCGCCTTACGTAAGATAGTGCTGAATTAATAATACTTGTTTTGCTGCTGCAGTTAGCTGCTTTTCGTGCTCAGAGACGCTACCCTGCTTGGGGCGGGGGTGCTATATAAATGCAAGTTGTTGTCGTTGCTGTTTTAACCACGCGTCTTTTTTAAAGTTTGATTTAATAAGTTTTTTTATGCTTTGTCTGCTGATCTCATCCAGTGGGCAGTGGTTTTGCTAATTTTCAGCTTGCTCAGTGCAACACTGAAGGACAAGATACAGTATTAAAGTAAACTTCTCAAATGTCAGGAGTAGCTTTATCCCGCAGCATGGCGTCAGCTGTAGTTTGCGTCAGCGTATGTTGGTATATACCCAGTCCTGATGTTTTCCTTCCTTTTTGTAATCTCAGGGGAAATGTTGTATTCAGTATTGGGGTAAAGTGAACTCGTCTAATGGGTTGACCGTTAAAATGCCATCGCCAGTTCAGAGTTCTTGCATATACACAATACAGCGCAAAATTATCTTTGTAAAGCGTCTTTCACGTCGGGAGGACATCCCAAGGTGCTGAACAGTCAGGGATAGGACCCGAACCGGGGGTGGGGGTTGGGATCAGGGAGGGTGGAGGGCGCAGAGAGTAGCAGGGTGGCCGAAGGCCCGGTTGAAGAGGAGGGTCTTGAAGGAGACAAGGGAGGAAGTGAGGTGAAGGGAATGTGGGATGTTCCAGATTTCCAGAGGGTGGGGGCAGAGAGGCTGAAGGCCCGATCGCCAATGGTGGGCTGGGTGGGGGACATAGTGTAGGCCGGAGAGAGCGGACTGGTCGGAGAGGTAGGAGGGGGCGAGGCCGTAGAGGGCCTTGAAGGTGAGAACGAGAATTTTGAACTCGACCCTCTGAGGGTTGGATTAACCGGTGGAGCCGGGTGAGGGTGGGGGTGATGGGGTCATGGAGTCTGGTGCAGAAGAGGACACGAGCTGCTGAACTCCGCAGCTTGTGGAGGGAAGAGTTGGGAAGGCCGACAAGCGGGGAGTTTCCGTAGTCGAGCCGGTTGCAATGAGTGCAATGAATGAATATTCTTCACAGTTAACAGGGAGTGATGCTATTGTTGTTTCCTGCTGTTTACAACTTGGGGCCTGAGACATTGAACTTGTTCATAATCGTATTTTAAAGAAGTTGTGTCACGCAAACCCACGGGAACTTCACTCCTCAAGCAATAATTACAACAGACAGTTGGTGCACTTTGGATACCCATGTGATTAATGAGGTCAACAAATTCCTAGGAAGGTCCCAGACTGAAACTCAGAGAGAGGGGAGATGAACAGACACTCCTTTAAGCGCTCTGAGACGCTACCCTGGATGGAGGGCGCTATATAAGTGCAAGTTGTTGTTGTTAATGTACTGCAAAGTGAATTGACTGTATTTTGTGGGCAAAATACTCAGTCAATTCACTTTACAGTATACTCTGTGAAGCCCTTTGAGATGTCTCGAAGACGTGATGAGGCGCTGCATCAACTGCAAGGATTATTATCATTATCATTATTATTATTATTATTAATGCCATCAGCAATTTGTAGTTAATCTCATTTAATTGCTTTTAGCAGAGCAGTGATGAATATGTGGAATAGGCAATCCAGGCAGTTGGCATCTTCGGGGTGGGGTGTGTGTGTGGGAGTGGGGAGGGGCGGTGGAGGGGTGATTGTCTCAGCGGTTTTAAAAGGGAATTAGATAGTTATTTGGTAAAATAATTAAATTGTGGCGGAATGAAAGAATGTACTAATGGAGGATATTTATTTTACTTTGGGATTGACCGGATTGACTGCATGGCCTTTTCTAGTCCTGTGCAATCCAGGATTCCTTTCTCTGGGTGTAAGATGATCAATAGGAAGGTATAGTGCCAATGAAACAATTGTAAAAAGAGCTATATTTTCTCCTTCTAAACTGGACAGTGGGAGCTGGAAGGAAAGTAAGTGATTCAAGGTTCAGAGATTAAAAAATAACAATAAAGGAGAGATTTTACAACATGAGAAAGGAGTGAGAACAGCCAAGTTTTTTTAAAAGTTTTTTTTTAAATTAAGTTATATTTTTGTATTTATTTTAGTAGTTTGGGGTTACTTAATGTTAGCAAAATTCAACTGTAGGTGAGATTATTGGTGTAAGTTTTCAGTAAATTGATCAGAATGTTTTTACATTGTCCGGTTGTGAAACGGACTACATCAAAAATTGTGCATTATTATTAATAATGAGATATTTTGGTGTGTTTTCAATGTCTCACAGCAAGAGCTGAAAACTTGCAGAACCTGTTAGCGCCCAGAGCCCCATACACTCCAGCACTGAAAGGTTTATCGCTAAAGCAACAAAACCAAAACGTTGAATATAATTTGATATACAGGTTGGCTAAAGCCAAGGTTTGGGGGAACTCCAGAGTGTGTGGTGAGGTAACTGCTGAAGTGTAACCAGCTAAAACCGCATAGCTTGCCTTTGATATTACTGTCTGGCCAGCTTTCCCGCTGCTTGTCCAGCTCGGACCGCCCTACCCGTTAGGGCTTTGGCTTGCAGGGTTAACAGGAGCTGAATGGGGTTGACTCCCTGCTCCCAGTGACTGGTCGCATTTGGTGGAAGTGCAAAAAACATTAGTTAAAAACTATAAAAGCACAAATAACACCTTCAACAAGTTGCCGTTATTTGCAGTACCCAGAGGCGTAGCTGAAAGTCGATGAGTTTTTCCCACTAATGAGTGCACTTTGTAACCTCCTTATCACTTGCAGGTGTGAACATGACTGCAACCTACTTTCTTATTCTATTCTGAACAGTGGTTTAGTGTTCAGGTTATTTGTGGCGTCATGTTGTCTTTACAGTGATAGTGAGAAAGGGAGGTGTTAGCAGGACACTGATTGCAGTTGGTGAAACAACATTTTCACATAGGAAAGACGTGGGGAAAATTGAGATCTAGATACATTAGGAGCACATGAAAAGTTTGTAGTATTACAGCGCTAATACTGTCCACTAGCCAGCTCAATTCTGAGTAGTTTAAAAACTTTCTGTCAAGCAAATCACAATTACAGCGACTGCAATCTCGTTTGTTGTTGGCTGTCAGGATAAGATCATCATTCAAACATATTAAAATGACACGGTCCTTACGTGGGTGGGCACTGAGTCAACTAGCCTTATGTCTGTTTCCGGCAGTGCATCCTGAGACCTTACAGTGCTTACAGTCACCTTCCCCCTCCCTCCCCCCGCCTCGGAGTCAGGCTCAGCCATTGTCAAGCGCTCTGGGACCCTACCCCATGTGAAGGACGCTATATAAATGGAAGTTGTTGCTGTTAATACCTTGCCATGGTGACCAAACTCCCATAATGACCAACTTTTGCTTTCCTATCTCAACCGCCCATTTTGAATCCATGTCTGGACGTTGTCAGGTTATTCCTTTCCATGTGGTTGTAGATCAGGAAATGCGGTAATCGCTGACAGAGGCTCCTGAAAATATGAAAGTTGTTAATACGTTTGCTGAGAAGTTGAATTCCCTCATTTAACAGATCTTAATCGCTCACAGCATAACTGGTAACAAATTTCTCACCTTGTCTTAAGTATAAAACCACATGTATTCGCTGTTAAGAAACTGAGCAGCAGGAAATGTCATGTAAACCTGAATAACAATTTCATTTATGTTTTAAGTTATTTTCCCTTCAATTTTTGTCTGTTATATTTTGGCATTATCTGTGTACTGATTATTTCAGTTCTAGTGGAGTATGCAATATTTAAACCTTGAAAGTATTTAGCAGATGAACCCTTTTTTTTTGCAAAAACAGAATCATTTTGTATACAGAAAGCCAATCGATTGAAATCTGACGTTCTAGTCAGCAGCATTTAGCAGAAAAATAAACTATTTGTCCAAATAATTGTTTTGTATTTTATGTACGGTAAGCAACAACAGACACAGTATGAACTGATAGAAATATAAGTGTTAGCATTTCAGGTGCTTAAAAGACTTTTAGTCAAAGTGTGGGATGCTGTCAACATCAAGCATTCATGGGTCAGGATTGGAATTCTTAAACATAGAGCAAAAGTTCTACCACTCATCGCCAAAATGCACATCACTGCACCAACATTTTGTACCTTCCCACAGCTAAGCCCACCTCCTTGACTGCACTTCTCAGTCATCTCTCCCCTTCCCATCTTCACTCCACCAGCTCAGGTGCCCAGCCGGCAGCGTCAAACGATCAGGGAATCTACCCTGTGTGAGAGGCGCTGTATCATAGAATTAAACAGCACAGAAGGCCCATCGTGTCTGTGCAGGCTCCTTGAGAAGAGCTGTCCAATTCAGTCCCACTCCCCCGCTCTCTCCCAATAGCCCTGCAAACTTCTTGTCCCCAAATAATTATCTACTTCTTTCTTAAAAGCTGTCAGCGTGTTAGGCTGACTGGCCCTACCTTTCCCTTTTGTGGGAATGTCTTTGTTCTGTCTCCGAACTATCTCCTCCTTGAAGGCTTCCCATTGCTCGTTGTTTTACCTGCCAATCTTTCTTCACAGTCCACCTTGGTTAGGTTCCTTTTTAACGCACTGAAATTAGCCCTCTTCTAGTTGAGTATCTTCTCCTTTGATTGCTCCTTGTTTCTTTCTATAAGTACTCTAAACCTAATGATGTTGTGATCACTGTTGTCCAGATGCTCTCGTACTGAAACCTGCTCCATTTCATTCCCCGGAACGAGATCCAGCACTGCTTCCTTCCTCGTCGGGCTGGAAACATACTGATCCAGAAAGTTATCCTGCACACATTTCAGGAATCCTTCCCCCTTTTGCCCTTTACACTGTTATTTTGCCAGTCTTTGTTAGGATAACTGAAGTCCCCCTTTATCACTATTCTATTGGTTTTGCTTCTTTCTGAAATCTGCTGCAAATTTGCTCATCTATGTCCTTTCCACTAGTTGGTGGTCTGTAGTATACACAACAACAACAGCAACAAAATTACATTGATAGAGCGCCTTTCAAATCTGGAGGATGGCCCAAGGCGCTGGACAGTCAGGGGTCAGGACCCGAGCATGGGGAGGGGTGGGGTAGGGGTGAGGGAAGGCAGAGAGTTGGGACGGTCGAAGAGAAGGGTCTTGAGAGAAGGAGGCAAGGGAGGAAGCGAGGTGAAGGGACCGTGGGATGGAGTTCCAGAGTGTGAGGGCAGAGAGGCTGAAACCCCGGCCACCGATGGCAGGTGACGGATCGAGCGAGAGACATGGAGCAGCCGGAGCCCGATGAAAGGAGGGAGCGGGCAGGTTGGCAGGGAGTCAGCAGGTCAGAGAGGGAGGAGGGGGCAAGGCCTTGAAAGTGAGGACGAGGATCTTGAATTCGATCTTCGATATACACCCAACAGAGTAACTAATTTTCTGCTCCTTAACTATAAATGCAAGTTGTTGTTGTTAACCACCTGGAGACATCCCGCCAACGTGAAAGGCACTGCTATATAACTATAAATTATATTGCACTGAAAAAATGTCGGTCAAAAGAGAGTGACGTTCTTGGTGTTTCACAATATGTTTACGACTCGTATCGAATGCATTGTGAAACGCTGTGAGTTTCATGCCTAATCAGCCCAACTTTTGAATAGTTTACACATAATTTTTTTTTATTGCAGCCCAGAGTTTCCCATCAAATATCTGTGGCCTGAGGATCGTGACTTACCAAAACACTCATCAACGGCGCAGCAAATGTTACATGTTTCAGTTTATAGCTTGGCATAACTTTGAAACTGCATTTTCTAGTGCCTTACGATGTCTTTTCGACGTGAAGGGCACTATACAAGTGTAATGTGTTGTTGTTTCTCCCTGAAGTTCGATTCTATTTAATAAGAACAACAATTTGCACTTATATACAAATATAATCTTGTTATTGTTATATAGCACCCTCCACCTGGGTAGCATCTCAGAGCGCATCAATAACAACCAAATCCAGGAAAGTACAAGTAAATAAAAGTATATATATGTGTGTGTGTATATATATATCTATATCTCCATATGGATATACTGTATATTTTTCTCCAGTTAATAGTTCCTGGTTTGTGAATATACCTAGCTCTTCTCATTGTAAATCAGAGTAATTATATTAGTAATGATATTAATGTGTTCATAAAATAGCAACTTGTTGCTGTGGTGGGAGAATGGTAAATTGGGACGGGCATTCAGGAAGGATGGCATCAGATGGGCCGAACAGCCTTCTTCATCCAAATAATCTTGTGATTTTATTCTAAGCATTGTCAGCTACTGTGACGATCAAAACAATGATAAATTGGTCATTTTCAATCCACGACTGTTTCTGGGACGCTGCTGTGCGCAATTGGCTGCCGTGTTTCGCCCACAAATATACAGTCAATTCACTTTACAGCATATTCTGTGAAGCGCTTTGAGATGTCTAGAAAACGTAAAAAGCGCTATATCAAATGCAAGGATTATTATTATTATGTTCAGCTCTATATGTTGACTCCAGTTTCCTGCTAGTTATCACACGGTACAATCATTAAGTTGGGCAGGTGTTGTATAATCAGTCGTCAAAGTATTTACAGTAAAGTCAATACCCTTCTGACGTAATACGTGAGATATAAATGTTCAAAGGTCAGTTTTTGTCTTAAATAAATCCCTGTCCCTTGTACCAAGTGCAGCACAATCACCATCGACATTGGAAAGGAAACATCGGGCTTCTGCTTTCCCAAGAGATCGCACCTTGAAGAAAGTGTTCCCGATGGCATTTACCAGCAAAGTGAAAATACCCATCGTTTACGGGATCCTTTTGGGACTTTTATGCAGCCGAGCATTGGTACAAGGTGAGAAAATAAGCTTTTTTTTATTGTAGAAGAACAAGGTCATTGTTTTATTTTCTCTCTGTTACTGTTTGTGAATAACAACAACTTGAATTTAGACAGCACCTTTCATGTGGGGTAGTGTCTCAGCGCTTAACAGTGGCGGGGCCTGACTCCGAGCCAGGGAGAGGGAAGAATGTGAGCCAAGGCACAGTTGAAGAGGATGGACTTCAGGCGTGATCTGAAGATGGGGAAGGAGGAGGCAAGGCAGAGGGATTGTGGCAGAGAGGTTTTGGGACTGTTAGGTGGCTGGAAGTGTGACCACCGATGGTGAAGGGAGAGGACACGGGATGTGCAGGAGGCCAGAAGCAGCTGAGCGAAGGCTCTGGTTAGTGGAGTGTGCTGAGGTGGAGAGGTGCCAGGGCATCAAGTGATTAATGCGTGAATTATGTGCTCATGTCCAAGAAATGGTTATTAAATACTAATGATTGAAGTTGTTCTTTGTGAAGAAGTAAGTTAAAATGTGCGTCAAATAATAATAATAATGATCCTTACATTTGATACAGCCCCTTATCACGTCTTTGAGATGTCTCAAAGCGCTTCGCAGAATAGACTGTAAAGCGGATTGACTGTATCTTTGTGGGTGGAAAAAATATATTAGGAGATTGTAATCAATGAAACCTGAAAAATCAGAACGTTTTTGAATTATTTTTTGTATTGGTGATTCAATTGCTTCGTTTAATGAAATAAAATGGAGTCACAATCAGGGAGTGGGAGTGGTGACTTTCTTTTACCATGTCATAAAAGACGAACATTGAGGTTATTTGCAGTTCCCTATTGCACAACGCAGCCCATCGACTGATAAGGACACACCGAACTTCTTAGTCCTTATCCATTGCTGTTTGTGGGACGCTGCTGTGCGCAATTGGCTGCCACGTTTTGCTCACAAAATATACAGTCAATTCACTTTACAATATATTCTGTGAAGCGCTTTGAGACGTCTCGAAGATGTGATGAGGCGCTGTATCAAATGCAAGGATTATTATTATTATTCTCTTTTGGAGCTTCAAAAAGTTACATTCATATTTTACTGTGAATTTACATTCGATAAATTTGGGGAGTGCAAATCTTCAGGACTATGGGGAGAGCGCGGGGGAGTGGGATTGATTTGAACAGCTCTTTTCAAAGAGCCGGCACAGACACGATGGGCCGAATGGCCTTTCTGTGCTGTATGATTCTATGATTCTAATAGTGGTTAAATAAATATTGACCATTTTTAATGTGCAAAAAGACCCATAAAAGTAGCGCAGTTTTCCCCCGATGATCTGAGTAAAGCTGCTGCTGGAATCTCTTTTGATCAGTCGGGTTTCTGACACGCGCAGAAAAACCAATCAATCACGTGGTTAAAAGTCTCTGAAGCAGACTGTGGTTTCCATATAAACGTGTTAGGACAAGACAACACTGAGCTGTGTTTCCCCCTTGTGGTGAATATTCTTCCACATTTCTCTGTTTAAGGCCACACATGAACAATGACCAATGTCTAGTCTCAGACTGTACCAGTGAATATAGTGATACTCCACTAGTATTTAGTTCTATCCACAGGGTGACTATAATGTCGTGATATAATAATAATATCTACCCTACTATCTAAAACAATCATCCTTCCTACAGGACTCATTAAACATTGTAATGAAATCACGACTTTTTGTCCAAAAGCAAGCTCTCACAAAACAAACTTCCAGTATTTGAATGGCTAAGAATGTTAAAAAATGTATAACAAACGTGTGGAGTGGAAGTTTGGAATGACAGAGGTTTACGTTCGACACCCAAGGACTGGGGAGGGGTAACAACCTGAATAAATGAGTTGCATCGCCGGGTTCAAAATAAAATGCTACTTTTATATAACACTTGTAAACAAATCACATTCAATATGTCTGTTACAGGTTCATCTGCTGCCGCAACTTCTCCAGGTACAGTGTCATTCCTTTAAACATAGATGTTTTGTGTTGATTGGATTTGTTTCTTAAATACTTTTTCAGTATAAGTGATCATAGGTGTTTCTATGTGTAAGTGTTAAAGATCTCACCCACGGGAACCACTCAAAAAGGGAAAGCATTTGCTCCTGATGTCGAGGCCAGTAAATCCCCCAAATAAAATTGTTCATTATCATCAGAGCTGATGTGGGACAAGTTTGTATTTATATAGCGTCCTTCACGCTGTGCAGTGTCCCGGAGCACTTGACATTGTAGTGTCAACAATTGGCCGCTGCGTTCACCGACTACAAACTCAGTCACAACATATTGCAGTAAATCCTGTGAAGCCTTGAGACAGACACTCAATATAAAAGCTATTGTATCAAATGCAGGTATTAATTATTATTATTCCTACCCTATACATTTGGACATTGGATTGCACACAGAACTCTGATTGGAATGTTTTAGTTTTGTGAAAGAGATAACTGTTGTGTTTAGAAGCAAACACCCAAAGTTTGGGGTTCTGTGATTGACTGATCGATGTCAATTTGGAGCCACTTTTGTATAACAATGACAAACCAATTACATTCCATATGTATGTTACAGGTACTCCTGGGACCACCTTTACTGTCCCAACTAACACCATCACATGTGCTGCAGATACATTGTCATTTCTTTAAACATAGAGGTGCTGCGTTGATTGGATTCATTTCTTAAAAACTTTTTCAGTAGTTTTTGGGGATTGTCCCAGGGATTGGAACATTTATTTGGGAAAGAGATGATCAAATGACGGGTGTTTTAAAAACCACACGTGATTTTGGTGTAGTGTGAATGCCGGACAGACATTGATGTAGAGCGACGACACAAACCTCCTTCTCGCTCCACATCGCCGGGTTCAAAATGAAATGCTACTTTTATATAACACTTGTAAACAAATCACATTCAATATGTCTGTTACAGGTACATTCCTGCCGCAACTACTTCAGGTACAGTGTCATTCCTTTAAACATAGATGTTTTGTGTTGATTGGATTTGTTTCTTAAATACTTTTTCAGTATAAGTGCTCATAGGTGTTTCTATGTGTAAGTGTTAAAGATCTCACCCACGGGAACCACTCAAAAAGGGAAAGCATTTGCTCCTGATGTCGAGGCCAGTAAATCCCCCAAATAAAATTGTTCATTATCATCAGAGCTGATGTGGAACAAGTTTGTATTTATATAGCGTCCTTCACGCTGTGTAGTGTCCCGGAGCGCTTGACATTGTAGTGTGAAAAATTGGCCACTGTGTTCACCTCCAACAAACTCAGTCACAACATATTGCAGTAAATCCTGTGAAGCTTTGAGATAGACACTCAATATAAAAGCTATTGTATCAAATGCAGGTATTAATTATTATTATTCCTACCCTATACATTTGGACATTGGATTGCACACAGGACTCTGATTGGAATGTTTTAGTTTTGTTAAAGAGATGATGGAATAACTGTTGTGTTTAGAATCAAACACCCAAAGTTTGGGGTTCTGTGATTGACTGATCGATGTCAATTTGGAGCCACTTTTGTATAACAATGACAAACAAATTACATTCCATATGTATGTTACAGGTACTCCTGGGACCACCTTTACTGTCCCTACTAACACCATCACATGTGCTGCAGATACATTGTCATTTCTTTAAACATAGAGGTGCTGCGTTGATTGGATTCATTTCTTGAATACTTTTTCAGTAGTTTTTTGGGATTGTCCCAGGGATTGGAACATTTTTTGGGGGAAAGAAATGATCAAATGACGGGTGTTTTAAAAACCACACGTGATTTTGGTGTAGTGTGAATGCCGGACAGACATTGATGTAGAGCGACGACACAAACCTCCTTCTCGCTCCACATCGCCGGGTTCAAAATGAAATGCTACTTTTATATAACACTGGTAAACAAATCACATTCAATATGTCTGTTACAGGTACATCTACTGCCGCAACTACTTTAGGTACAGTGTCATTCCTTTAAACATAGATGTTTTGTGTTGATTGGATTTGTTTCTTAAATACTTTTTCAGTATAAGTGCTCATAGGTGTTTCTATGGGTAAGTGTTAAAGATCTCACCCACGGGAACCACTCAAAAAGGGAAAGCATTTGCTCCTGATGTCGAGGCCAGTAAATCCCCCAAATAAAATTGTTCATTATCATCAGAGCTGATGTGGGACAAGTTTGTATTTATATAGCGTCCTTCACGCTGTGTAGTGTCCCGGAGCGCTTGACATTGTAGTGTGAAAAATTGGCCGCTGTGTTCACCTACAACAAAGTCGGTCACAACATATTGCAGTAAATCCTGTGAAGCCTTGAGACAGACACTCGATATAAAAGCTATTGTATCAAATGCAGGTATTAATTATTATTATTCCTACCCTATACATTTGGACATTGGATTCCACACGGGACTCTGATTGGAATGTTTTAGTTTTCTGAAAGAGATGATGGAATAACTGTTGTGTTTAGAAGCAAACACCCAAAGTTTGGGGTTCTGTGATTGACTGATCGATGTCAATATGGAACCACTTTTGTAAAACAATTACCCACAAATTACATTCCATATGTATGTTACAGGTACTCCTGGGACCACCTTTACTGTCCCTACTAACACCATCACATGTGCTGCAGATACATTGTGATTTCTTTAAACATAGAGGTGCTGCGTTGATTGGATTCATTTCTTAAAAACTTTTTCAGTAGTTTTTGGGGATTGTCCCAGGGATTGGAACATTTATTTGGGAAAGAGATGATCAAATGACGGGTGTTTTAAAAACCACACGTGATTTTGGTGTAGTGTGAATGCCGGACAGACATTGATGTAGAGCGACGACACAAACCTCCTTCTCGCTCCACATCGCCGGGTTCAAAATGAAATGCTACTTTTATATAACACTTGTAAACAAATCACATTCAATATGTCTGTTACAGGTACATCTCCTGCCGCAACTACTTCAGGTACAGTGTCATTCCTTTAAACATAGATGTTTTGTGTTGATTGGATTTGTTTCTTAAATACTTTTTCAGTATAAGTGCTCATAGGTGTTTCTATGGGTAAGTGTTAAAGATCTCACCCACGGGAACCACTCAAAAAGGGAAAGCATTTGCTCCTGATGTCGAGGCCAGTAAATCCCCCAAATAAAATTGTTCATTATCATCAGAGCTGATGTGGAACAAGTTTGTATTTATATAGCGTCCTTCACGCTGTGTAGTGTCCCGGAGCGCTTGACATTGTAGTGTGAAAAATTGGCCACTGTGTTCACCTCCAACAAACTCAGTCACAACATATTGCAGTAAATCCTGTGAAGCCTTGAGATAGACACTCAATATAAAAGCTATTGTATCAAATGCAGGTATTAATTATTATTATTCCTACCCTATACATTTGGACATTGGATTGCACACAGGACTCTGATTGGAATGTTTTAGTTTTGTGAAAGAGATGATGGAATAACTGTTGTGTTTAGAAGCAAACACCCAAAGTTTGGGGTTCTGTGATTGACTGATCGATGTCAATTTGGAGCCACTTTTGTATAACAATGACAAACCAATTACATTCCATATGTATGTTACAGGTACTCCTGGGACCACCTTTACTGTCCCTACTAACACCATCACATGTGCTCCAGATACATTGTCATTTCTTTAAACATAGAGGTGCTGCGTTGATTGGATTCATTTCTTAAATACTTTTTCAGTAGTTTTTGGGGATTGTCCCAGGGATTGGAACATTTTTTGGGGGAAAGAAATGATCAAATGACGGGTGTTTTAAAAACCACACGTGATTTTGGTGTAGTGTGAATGCCGGACAGACATTGATGTAGAGCGACGACACAAACCTCCTTCTCGCTCCACATCGCCGGGTTCAAAATGAAATGCTACTTTTATATAACACTGGTAAACAAATCACATTCAATATGTCTGTTACAGGTACATCTACTGCCGCAACTACTTTAGGTACAGTGTCATTCCTTTAAACATAGATGTTTTGTGTTGATTGGATTTGTTTCTTAAATACTTTTTCAGTATAAGTGCTCATAGGTGTTTCTATGGGTAAGTGTTAAAGATCTCACCCACGGGAACCACTCAAAAAGGGAAAGCATTTGCTCCTGATGTCGAGGCCAGTAAATCCCCCAAATAAAATTGTTCATTATCATCAGAGCTGATGTGGGACAAGTTTGTATTTATATAGCGTCCTTCACGCTGTGTAGTGTCCCGGAGCGCTTGACATTGTAGTGTGAAAAATTGGCCGCTGTGTTCACCTACAACAAAGTCGGTCACAACATATTGCAGTAAATCCTGTGAAGCCTTGAGACAGACACTCGATATAAAAGCTATTGTATCAAATGCAGGTATTAATTATTATTATTCCTACCCTATACATTTGGACATTGGATTGCACACGGGACTCTGATTGGAATGTTTTAGTTTTCTGAAAGAGATGATGGAATAACTGTTGTGTTTAGAAGCAAACACCCAAAGTTTGGGGTTCTGTGATTGACTGATCGATGTCAATATGGAACCACTTTTGTATAACAATTACCCACAAATTACATTCCATATGTATGTTACAGGTACTCCTGGGACCACCTTTACTGTCCTACTAACACCATCACATGTGCTGCAGATACATTGTGATTTCTTTAAACATAGAGGTGCTGCGTTGATTGGATTCATTTCTTAAATACTTTTTCAGTAGTTTTTGGGGATTGTCCCAGGGATTGGAACATTTATTTGGGAAAGAGATGATCAAATGACGGGTGTTTTAAAAACCACACGTGATTTTGGTGTAGTGTGAATGCCGGACAGACATTGATGTAGAGCGACGACACAAACCTCCTTCTCGCTCCACATCGCCGGGTTCAAAATGAAATGCTACTTTTATATAACACTTGTAAACAAATCACATTCAATATGTCTGTTACAGGTACATCTACTGCCGCAACTACTTCAGGTACAGTGTCATTCCTTTAAACATAGATGTTTTGTGTTGATTGGATTTGTTTCTTAAATACTTTTTCAGTATAAGTGCTCATAGGTGTTTCTATGTGTAAGTGTTAAAGATCTCACCCACGGGAACCACTCAAAAAGGGAAAGCATTTGCTCCTGATGTCGAGGCCAGTAAATCCCCCAAATAAAATTGTTCATTATCATCAGAGCTGATGTGGGACAAGTTTGTATTTATATAGCGTCCTTCACGCTGTGTAGTGTCCCGGAGCGCTTGACATTGTAGTGTGAAAAATTGGCCGCTGCGTTCTCCTACAACAAACTCAGTCACAACATATTGCAGTAAATCCTGTGAAGCCTTGAGATAGACACTCGATATAAAAGCTATTGTATCAAATGCAGGTATTAATTATTATTATTCCTACCCTATACATTTAGACATTGGAGTGCACACAGAACTCTGATTCGAATGTTTTAGTTTTGTGAAAGAGATGATGGAATAACTGTTGTGTTTAGAAGCAAACACCCAAAGTTTGGGGTTCTGTGATTGACTGATCGATGTCAATATGGAACCACTTTTGTATAACAATTACCCACAAATTACATTCCATATGTATGTTACAGGTACTCCTGGGACCACCTTTATTGTCCCTACTAACACCATCACATGTGCTGCAGATACATTGTCATTTCTTTAAACATAGAGGTGCTGCGATGATTAAATTCACTTCTTAAATACTTTTTCAGTAGTTTTTGGGGATTGTCCCAGGGATTGGAACATTTATTTGGGAAAGAGATGATCAAATGACGGGTGTTTTAAAAACCACACGTGATTTTGGTGTAGTGTGAATGCCGGACAGACATTGATGTAGAGCGACGACACAAACCTCCTTCTCGCTCCACATCGCCAGGTTCAAAATGAAATGCTACTTTTATATAACACTTGTAAACAAATCACATTCAATATGTCTGTTACAGGTACATCTACTGCCACAACTCCTTCAGGTACAGTGTCATTCCTTTAAACATAGATGTTTTGTGTCGATTGGATTTGTTTCTTAAATACTTTTTCAGTATAAGTGCTTATAGGTGTTTCTATGTGTAAGTGTTAAAGATCTCACCCACGGGAACCACTCAAAAAGAAAAAGCATTTGCTCCTGATGTCGAGGCCAGTAAATCCCCCAAATAAAATTGTTCATTATCAATCAGAGCTGATGTGGAACAAGTTTGTATTTATATAGCGTCCTTCACGCTGTGTAGTGTCCCGGAGCGCTTGACATTGTAGTGTGAAAAATTGGCCGCTGCGTTCACCTCCAACAAACTCAGTCACAACATATTGCAGTAAATCCTGTGAAGCCTTGAGATAGACACTCGATATAAAAGCTATTGTATCAAATGCAGGTATTAATTATTATTATTCCTACCCTATACATTTGGACATTGGATTGCACACAGGACTCTGATTGGAATGTTTTAGTTTTGTGAAAGAGATGATGGAATAACTGTTGTGTTTAGAAGCAAACACCCAAAGTTTGGGGTTCTGTGATTGACTGATCGATGTCAATATGGAACCACTTTTGTATAACAATTACCCACAAATTACATTCCATATGTATGTTACAGGTACTCCTGGGACCACCTTTGCTGTCCCTACTAACACCATCACATGTGCTCCAGATACATTGTGATTTCTTTAAACATAGAGGTGCTGCGATGATTGGATTCATTTCTTAAATACTTTTTCAGTAGTTTTTGGGGATTGTCCCAGGGATTGGAAATTTTTTTTGGGAAAGAGATGATCAAATGACAGGTGTTTTAAAAACCACACGTGATTTTGGTGTAGTGTGAATGCCGGACAGACATTGATGTAGAGCGACGACACAAACCTTCTTCTCGCTCCACATCGCCGGGTTCAAAATGAAATGCTACTTTTATATAACACTGGTAAACAAATCACATTCAATATGTCTGTTACAGGTACATCTACTGCCGCAACTACTTCAGGTACAGTGTCATTTCTTTAAACATAGATGTTTTGTGTCGATTGGATTTGTTTCTTAAATACTTTTTCAGTATAAGTGCTCATAGGTGTTTCTATGGGTAAGTGTTAAAGATCTCACCCACGGGAACCACTCAAAAAGGGAAAGCATTTGCTCCTGATGTCGAGGCCAGTAAATCCCCCAAATAAAATTGTTCATTATCATCAGAGCTGATGTGGGACAAGTTTGTATTTATATAGCGTCCTTCACGCTGTGTAGTGTCCCGGAGCGCTTGACATTGTAGTGTGAAAAATTGGCCGCTGTGTTCACCTACAACAAACTCAGTCACAACATATTGCAGTAAATCCTGTGAAGCCTTGAGACAGACACTCGATATAAAAGCTATTGTATCAAATGCAGGTATTAATTATTATTATTCCTACCCTATACATTTGGACATTGGATTCCACACGGGACTCTGATTGGAATGTTTTAGTTTTCTGAAAGAGATGATGGAATAACTGTTGTGTTTAGAAGCAAACACCCAAAGTTTGGGGTTCTGTGATTGACTGATCGATGTCAATATGGAACCACTTTTGTATAACAATTACCCACAAATTACATTCCATATGTATGTTACAGGTACTCCTGGGACCACCTTTACTGTCCCTACTAACACCATCACATGTGCTGCAGATACATTGTGATTTCTTTAAACATAGAGGTGCTGCGTTGATTGGATTCATTTCTTAAATACTTTTTTTCAGTAGTTTTTGGGGATTGTCCCAGGGATTGGAACATTTATTTGGGAAAGAGATGATCAAATGACGGGTGTTTTAAAAACCACACGTGATTTTGGTGTAGTGTGAATGCCGGACAGACATTGATGTAGAGCGACGACACAAACCTTGTTCTCGCTCCACATCGCCAGGTTCAAAATGAAATGCTACTTTTATATAACACTTGTAAACAAATCACATTCAATATGTCTGTTACAGGTACATCTACTGCCGCAGCTACTTCAGGTACAGTGTCATTCCTTTAAACATAGATGTTTTGTGTCGATTGGATTTGTTTCTTAAATACTTTTTCAGTATAAGTGCTTATAGGTGTTTCTATGTGTAAGTGTTAAAGATCTCACCCACGGGAACCACTCAAAAAGAAAAAGCATTTGCTCCTGATGTCGAGGCCAGTAAATCCCCCAAATAAAATTGTTCATTATCAATCAGAGCTGATGTGGAACAAGTTTGTATTTATATAGCGTCCTTCACGCTGTGTAGTGTCCTGGAGCGCTTGACATTGTAGTGTGAAAAATTGGCCGCTGCGTTCTCCTACAACAAACTCAGTCACAACATATTGCAGTAAATCCTGTGAAGCCTTGAGATAGACACTCGATATAAAAGCTATTGTTTCAAATGCAGGTATTAATTATTATTATTCCTACCCTATACATTTGGACATTGGATTGCACACAGGACTCTGATTGGAATGTTTTAGTTTTGTGAAAGAGATGATGGAATAACTGTTGTGTTTAGAAGCAAACACCCAAAGTTTGGGGTTCTGTGATTGACTGATCGATGTCAATATGGAACCACTTTTGTATAACAATTACCCACAAATTACATTCCATATGTATGTTACAGGTACTCCTGGGACCACCTTTACTGTCCCTACTAACACCATCACATGTGCTCCAGATACATTGTGATTTCTTTAAACATAGAGGTGCTGCGATGATTGGATTCATTTCTTAAATACTTTTTCAGTAGTTTTTTGGGATTGTCCCAGGGATTGGAAATTTTTTTTGGGGAAAGAGATGATCAAATGACAGGTGTTTTAAAAACCACACGTGATTTTGGTGTAGTGTGAATGCCGGACAGACATTGATGTAGAGCGACGACACAAACCTTGTTCTCGCTCCACATCGCCGGGTTCAAAATGAAATGCTACTTTTATATAACACTGGTAAACAAATCACATTCAATATGTCTGTTACAGGTACATCTCCTGCCGCAGCTACTTCAGGTACAGTGTCATTTCTTTAAACATAGATGTTTTGTGTCGATTGGATTTGTTTCTTAAATACTTTTTCAGTATGAGTGCTTATAGGTGTTTCTATGTGTAAGTGTTAAAGATCTCACCCACGGGAACCACTCTAAAAGAGAAAGCATTTCCTCCTGATGTCGAGGCCAGTAAATCCCGCAAATAAAATTGTTCATTATCATCAGAGCTGATGTGGGACAAGTTTGTATTTATTTTGCATCCTTCGCGCTGTGTAGTGTCCTCGAGCGCTTGACATTGTAGTGTGAAAAATTGGCCACTGTGTTCACCTCCAACAAACTCAGTCACAACATATTGCAGTAAATCCTGTGAAGCCTTGAGACAGACACTCGATATAAAAGCTATTGTATCAAATGCAGGTATTAATTATTATTATTCCTACCTTATACATCTGGATATTGGATTGCACACAGGACTCTGATTGGAACATTTGAATTTTTTGAAATTGACGATGGAATTACCGTTGTGTTAAGAAGCAAACAGCCAAATTTTGGAGTTTCTGTGATTGTTGATCAGGAGAGATAAAACATGCCTTCCTGCTCCACATCGCCAGCTTCAAAATTAAGTGCTGCCTTTTATATAAGACTTGAAAATAAATTACATTCCATTTGTGTGTACAGGTTCAGCTCTATCTACTTCCGGTAACCCAGGAACTCCAGGTACAGTCTCATTTCATTAAACATAGATGTTTTGTGTTGATTGGATTTGTTTTTTCAATGTAAGTGTTTATATGTTTCGATGTGATAGGCAGACAGCTATTCCCAAAGGTCTGTGTCAGCCTGTCCCAGTCAGCACCATTGTGGGTTGTGGGATCAAGCTTCATGTTGGCACTTTGAGTTTGTCGTCTGGGCTGAAACTCCAGGACGGTGCTGGGGGAACGTTTAGAGGTGATGGCCTTCCAATGAGACCTGAAAATGAGATCCTTTCTGTCCGTTCAGGCCGATGTTAAAGATCTCACCTACGGGAACCACTCACAAAGAGAAAGCATTTGCTCCTGATGTCGAGGCCAGTAAATCCCCCAAATAAAATTGTTCATTTTCATCAGAGCTGATGTGGGACAAGTTTGTATTGATATAGCGTCCTTCACGCTGTGTAGTGTCCTCAAGCGCTTGACATTGTAGTGTGAAAAATTGGCCGCTGCGTTCACCTACAATAAACTCAGTCACAACATATTGCAATAAATCCTGTGAAGCCTTGAGATAGACACTCGATATAAAAGCTATTGTATCAAATGCAGGTATTAATTATTATTATTCCTACCCTATACATTTGGACATTGGATTGCACACGGGACTCTGATTGGAATGTTTTAGTTTTGTGAAAGAGATGATGGAATAACTGTTGTGTTAAGAAGCAAACACCCAAAGTTTGGGGTTCTGTGATTGACTGATCGATGTCAATATGGAACCACTTTTGTATAACAATGACAAACCAATTACATTCCATATGTATGTTACAGGTACTCCTGGGACCACCTTTACTGTCCCTACTAACACCATCACATGTGCTGCAGATACATTGTCATTTCTTTAAACATAGAGGTGCTGCGATGATTGGATTCATTTCTTAAATACTTTTTCAGTAGTTTTTGGGGATTGTCCCAGGGATTGGAACATTTTTTTGGGAAAGAAATGATCAAATGACAGGTGTTTTAAAAACCACACGTGATTTTGGTGTAGTGTGAATGCCGGACAGACATTGATGTAGAGCGACGACACAAACCTCCTTCTCGCTCCACATCGCCGGGTTCAAAATGAAATGCTACTTTTATATTACACTGGTAAACAAATCACATTCAATATGTCTGTTACAGGTACATCTACTGCCACACCTACTCCAGGTACAGTGTCACTCCTTTAAACATAGATGTTTTGTGTTGATTGGATTTGTTTCTTAAATACTTTTTCAGTATAAGTGCTTATAGGTGTTTCTATGTGTAAGTGTTAAAGATCTCACCCACGGGAACCACTCAAAAAGGGAAAGCATTTGTTCCTGATGTCGAGGCCAGTAAATCCCCCAAATAAAATTGTTCATTATCATCAGAGCTGATGTGGGACAAGTTTGTATTGATATAGCGTCCTTCACGCTGTGTCGTGTCCCGAAGCGCTTGACATTGTAGTGTGAAAAATTGGCCGCTGTGTTCACCTCCAACAAACTCAGTCACAACATATTGCAGTAAATCCTGTGAAGCCTTGAGACAGACACTCGATATAAAAGCTATTGTTTCAAATGCAGGTATTAATTATTATTATTCCTACCCTATACATTTGGACATTGGATTGCACACAGGACTCTGATTGGAATGTTTTAGTTTTGTGAAAGAGATGATGGAATAACTGTTGTGTTAAGAAGCAAACACCCAAAGTTTGGGGTTCTGTGATTGACTGATCGATGTCAATTTGGAGCCACTTTTGTATAACAATGACAAACCAATTACATTCCATATGTATGTTACAGGTACTCCTGGGACCACCTTTATTGTCCCTACTAACACCATCACATGTGCTGCAGATACATTGTCATTTCTTTAAACATAGAGGTGCTGCGTTGATTGGATTCATTTCTTAAATACTTTTTCAGTAGTTTTTTGGGATTGTCCCAGGGATTGGAACATTTTTTGGGGAAAGAGATGATCAAATGACAGGTGTTTTAAAAACCACACGTGATTTTGGTGTAGTGTGAATGCCGGACAGACATTGATGTAGAGCGACGACACAAACCTCCTTCTCGCTCCACATCGCCAGGTTCAAAATGAAATGCTCCTTTTATATAACACTGGTAAACAAATCACATTCAATATGTCTGTTACAGGTACATCTACTGCCGCAACTACTTCAGGTACAGTGTCACTCCTTTAAACATAGATGTTTTGTGTTGATTGGATTTGTTTCTTAAATACTTTTTTAGTATAAGTGCTCATAGGTGTTTCTATGTGTAAGTGTTAAAGATCTCACCCACGGGAACCATTCAAAAAGGGAAAGCATTTCCTCCTGATGTCGAGGCCAGTAAATCCCCCAAATAAAATTGTTCATTATCATCAGAGCTGATGTGGGACAAGTTTGTATTTATATAGCGTCCTTCACGCTGTGTAGTGTCCCGGAGCGCTTGACATTGTAGTGTGAAAAATTGGCCACTGCGTTCACCTACAACAAACTCAGTCACAACATATTGCAGTAAATCCTGTGAAGCCTTGAGATAGACACTCGATATAAAAGCTATTGTATCAAATGCAGGTATTAATTATTATTATTCCTACCCTATACATTTGGACATTGGATTGCACACAGAACTCTGATTGGAATGTTTTAGTTTTGTGAAAGAGATGATGGAATAACTGTTGTGTTAAGAAGCAAACACCCAAAGTTTGGGGTTCTGTGATTGACTGATCGATGTCAATATGGAACCACTTTTGTATAACAATGACAAACCAATTACATTCCATATGTATGTTACAGGTACTCCTGGGACCACCTTTATTGTCCTACTAACACCATCACATGTGCTGCAGATACATTGTCATTTCTTTAAACATAGAGGTGCTGCGTTGATTGGATTCATTTCTTAAATACTTTTTCAGTAGTTTTTTGGGATTGTCCCAGGGATTGGAACATTTTTTGGGGAAAGAGATGATCAAATGACAGGTGTTTTAAAAACCACACGTGATTTTGGTGTAGTGTGAATGCCGGACAGACATTGATGTAGAGCGACGACACAAACCTCCTTCTCGCTCCACATCGCCGGGTTCAAAATGAAATGCTCCTTTTATATAACACTGGTAAACAAATCACATTCAATATGTCTGTTACAGGTACATCTACTGCCGCAACTACTTCAGGTACAGTGTCACTCCTTTAAACATAGATGTTTTGTGTTGATTGGATTTGTTTCTTAAATACTTTTTTAGTATAAGTGCTCATAGGTGTTTCTATGTGTAAGTGTTAAAGATCTCACCCACGGGAACCATTCAAAAAGGGAAAGCATTTCCTCCTGATGTCGAGGCCAGTAAATCCCCCAAATAAAATTGTTCATTATCATCAGAGCTGATGTGGGACAAGTTTGTATTTATATAGCGTCATTCACGCTGTGTAGTGTCCCGGAGCGCTTGACATTGTAGTGTGAAAAATTGGCCACTGCGTTCACCTACAACAAACTCAGTCACAACATATTGCAGTAAATCCTGTGAACCTTGAGATAGACACTCGATATAAAAGCTATTGTATCAAATGCAGGTATTAATTATTATTATTCCTACCCTATACATTTGGACATTGGATTGCACACAGAACTCTGATTGGAATGTTTTAGTTTTGTGAAAGAGATGATGGAATAACTGTTGTGTTAAGAAGCAAACACCCAAAGTTTGGGGTTCTGTGATTGACTGATCGATGTCAATATGGAACCACTTTTGTATAACAATGACAAACCAATTACATTCCATATGTATGTTACAGGTACTCCTGGGACCACCTTTACTGTCCCTACTAACACCATCACATGTGCTCCAGATACATTGTCATTTCTTTAAACATAGAGGTGCTGCATTGATTGGATTCATTTCTTAAATACTTTTTCAGTAGTTTTTTGGGATTGTCCCAGGGATTGGAAATTTTTTGGGGAAAGAAATGATCAAATGACAGGTGTTTTAAAAACCACACGTAATTTTGGTGTAGTGTGAATGCCGGACAGACATTGATGTAGAGCGACGACACAAACCTCCTTCTCGCTCTACATCGCCGGGTTCAAAATGAAATGCTACTTTTATATTACACTGGTAAATAAATCACATTCAATATGTCTGTTACAGGTACATCTGCTTCCACACCTTCTCCAGGTACAGTGTCACTCCTTTAAACATAGATGTTTTGTGTTGATTGGATTTGTTTCTTAAATACTTTTTCAGTATAAGTGCTCATAGGTGTTTCTATGTGTAAGTGTTAAAGATCTCACCCACGGGAACTACTCAAAAAGAGAAAGCATTTGCTCCTGATGTCGAGGCCAGTAAATCTCCCAAATAAAATTGTTCATTATCATCAGAGCTGATGTGGGACAAGTTTATATTTATATAGTGTCCTTCACGCTGTGTAGTGTCCCGGAGCGCTTGACATTGTAGTGTGAAAAATTGGCCGCTGCGTTCACCTCCAACAAACTCAGTCACAACATATTGCAGTAAATCCTGTGAACCTTGAGACAGACACTCGACGTAAAAGCTATTGTATCAAATGCAGGTATTAATTATTATTATTCCTACCCTATACATTTGGACATTGGATTGCACACGGGACTCTGATTGGAACATTTGAATTTTTTGAAAGAGATGATGGAATTATCGTTATGTTAAGATGCAAACAGTCAAATTTTGGAGTTTCTGTGATTGTTGATAAGGAGAGATAAAACATGCCTTCCTGCTCCACATCGCCAGCTTCAAAATTAAGTGCTGCTTTTTATATAAGACTTGAAAATAAATTACATTCAATATATCTGTACAGCTTCGGCTATACCTTCTACCGGTAACTCCAGGTACATTCTCATTTCATCTGTCCGTTCAGATTACATTAGAGATGGCATTTTTGGTCATTGAAAGCATATTTGTGGTGAGACAAGTTTTTTTTTTGTTTGATGAAATGTTGCTAATGCACTTATTTTACATTGGAACTCTTTCTCTCTACTCCTTCCTGGTGGTTAGGAACTGCAGATAATTACCCATTTGATTTTAGAATACGTTAATTTGTAGGACATGCTCCTGATTCAGAAAGTTGTGGATATTCCAGGATATTCACGCCAGGATATTGCAGTACAGTGCTGGGAGTTGCTGCACTGTCGTAAGTGCTTCTCTTCAGATGAGATGTTAAATATTTCTCCAGGTGTCCTGACCAATAATCCTCCAGATAAAAATGACTCATTCTCTTCATCGATGTAGGGCATTGTTGTGGACAAATCAATTAAATATACACAGATACTGTAAAGTGCTTTGAGACATTTTGATAGCATGATAAGGCATTATATCAAATGCAAGGATTATTAGTATTTACACTTGTGTTTCTGATTGTTAAGTAGTTATTAAGTAGTTCCTTTACTGCCCTATTACAAATTACTTTCTTAACTACTTTTGCAGTTTCGTATTGACTTTGTGCTGCATATAAATGCCTAATATTTAAAACATTTGTTTACACGTACCGGTGGAACAAATCCTCCTCCAAATTGAGGAACACCTGGTATGAAATGTGCAACACGGCTCACTTGTAGACAATCTAAGTGATAGATAGAGATTATTGATTGTTCGCCTCAAGTCTGTTTGTGGGGCACTGCTGTGTGTAAAATGGCTGCTTCATGTACGAACAAAACACACAGTCACACCACTCTACTGTATATGCTGTGAAGCGCTTTGAGATGTCTCAGGGATGTGATAGGGCGCTATATCAAATGCAAGGATTATTATTGTATCATTGAACTTAAATTGTACGTTAGTAGTTCAAAAAGTTGAATTTTTTTTGATTTTCAAGTTTAAAACAAGAACAACTTGCATTTCTATAGCGCCCTTCACGTGGGGCAGCATCCCGGAGCGCTTGACAGTGGCGGAACCTGACCCTGAGCCGGGGGGGGGAAGAGGGAGGGATGAGGGAGGTGACCTTAAGCCCCATCAAAAAGGATTGGGGAGGCAGGGGGCAAGGTGGAGGGATTGAGTAAGAGAGTTCCAGGGTTTCGGGGCATCGTGGCTGAAGGCACGGCCACCGATGGGGTAATTCATGACTGGAATTGGGTGCCAGTAAAGGGTGGTTGGTTGAGGCCAGGATATTGGACTTATTCAGAACAAAGCTCGATGCTGTGATGGGAAGACACACATGTGGGTAATCAGGAGGGATAAGATTGGATGGGCCAAAGGGCCATCTTCACCCAAACTGATCTTGCGATCGAAACATAACATGTCGTTGATGTTCGATATATGGGTTTTCAGAAGGCACTTTGAGGTACTGCATGGAAAACTGGTCGTGAAAATTAGAGCACATTGTATTAATAGTAAATTAGATAAAGAAATGGCACAGAGATGGAATGCAGAGAGCAGGAGTAAATGCTGCATGGATTTGGGTGGGTGTAATTATTAGCTCCTGAGTGGTTTAAACGTAGTTGGTAAATACGCAGGTTTGGCTGCTGAGGGCCAGATGCCAGGTTTGAGAAATATCCACGTGCCGTGGGCTGCGTAAGCAATATTTTATTGTGGAACTTTCACTCTCTCAAGCTACTGATGCCCGTGTTTGTATATCAGGCTAGACACAAATCTGCCTCCTTCTAAATATTGCTGATTATTGACACGACTGTTTGTGGCACGCTGCTGTGCGCAATTGGCTGCCGCGTTTCGCCCAAAAGAATCCACAGTCAATTTGCTTTACTGGGTATCCTGTGAAGCGCTTTGAGACATCTCAATGACGAGATGAGGCCCCCATATCAAATGCAAGGATTATTGTATAAACACAGAAGTCGCTGGGAACACGCAGTAGGTCAGGCAGCATCCATGGAGAGACAGGAAATGTTTCAGAACCAGATTGTTCTTTCGTCAGAACCGGATTGTTGTTGTTGTTGTTGTTATTAAGCCGGGCAGAGCTTAAGCCCCTGGTGACCGGCTCCTGATTGGCTCAGGCCCTGCGTGTCGCCTGAATTTGCTCAGGGGACAATGAACTTGGAAATGGTTCGCGAGCCGGATGAAATCATCCCCTGGGCCGGATGTGGCCCGTGGGCCACCAGTAGGACCACTTTGAATGAAGTTGCCTGCTTGCACCTCAATACAAGAATTTATTTTTCTAGCTCAGGGTTATTGTTTCGAAGACACTTGCATCGAACCCGCAGACTGTGTGAATCTGATTGACGGCTACCAATGCCGATGCCCACTCGGTTTCTACTATGAAAATAAAGAATGTATACCAGGTAAGGGTACAGATGATCTGAGACACTGTGATCACCCCATTTCATTCATATTTTGCAGAATTTTGTAGAAGCTTTAATCTGTTTGATGATCTTTCTGTATTTTTCAGAAAAGGAAAGCAGAAATGTTGAGGGTTTTTTGCTTGTTCATTTGCAATTAACCTGTCAAGATAATAATAATAATATGGTCACTCAATCCACACCCGTTTGATGGACATTGATGTGCATAATTGGCTGCCGCGTTTTGCCCGCAAAATACACAGTCAATTCACTTTACAGTATATTTTGTGAAGCGTTCCGATACGTCTTGAAGATGTGATAAAGCGCTGTGTCAAATGCAGGGATTATTATTAAAATATTTCAATACGTACGATCAAAATGGTATTGAGTAACTTGATAGAAGCAACATTTTATTTGAGGGCTAACACCTTAAGAATGATGAGAACCTGCTGGAGACTGAGCAATATGGTATTTGTCAGTATGGCACATGTAAAGTGGCCGGATGTGGGTTCTCATGGTTCGTGGCAGATGATGCTGAACCCTGCAGGCCATAGCCTTAATGGGTAGGGCAGTCCTAGCTGGACAAGCAGCAGGAAAGCTGGCCAGACAGCGCTCTCAATGGCAAGCAGTGTGGTTTTAGCTGGTTAGACTCCAGTAATTACCCCAGTGCACACTCGGGGGTCCCCAAGCCTTGGCTCTCGCCAACCTGCGCCTTATACTTTCCGGAATTAGGTAAGCGGGATGTGTCCCTGCAGGGAGAGAGAGAGAGAGAGAGCGCATTCCTTTCCAACAATCTCTCACTGTGATTTCCATGTGTAGATGGGATGGATGGAAATATCAGGTTGGTTTGGAGACTCTTAAGCACTGTGATGGGTTTTCCGCATGTGTCAGACACCCGGCTGAACAAACAAAAATGATTGGGATCCTCTCTCGCGATGGCTATTTAGTTCACTCAATAGTTTCATGTGTCGGCCTGTCCACTGACCGATTTTTGAAGTTTGAATAAGATGTAAGAATTCTGTTTTTCAACATTTAGGCAAGACCTTCTCAGGAGGTATGAATGTTGATGAAACATTCTCTCCAGCAATGGAAAAACCAGATTCTCAGGAATACAAGGAAATACATGACTCGATAATCAATTTTGTGAGTATTCCTATCTTTATAAATCTTTATTTGTTTATTTGTTAAGTAAATCCTGATTTTTATGACAAGACAATGAATCACTTGAAAAAAATTGCATTAGGAAACTGTAAGGGGCAAATAAATAATTGTCAGATGTTGAATCTTTAATATATATTCTAATATATTATATATTTGTATCTCTGTGTCAGACTCTGCCACTGTCAAACAGTACAAACAAGTTGTTGTTGTAATATACTGTAGCAGGAAAGGCAGGTAATGAGCTTAGATGTAATAATTGCCAAATAGTGAACTCTCAGTTCTATCCCTCTTGCAATGAGGAAGCACAGAGGAATATTACATGGAAAGTCCGCAATCACTAGCCTTGTCCATCTCTTAGTCACTACTGTAGTTTTGGCAGAAGCCAAGAAGCTTCAAAGCCCTATGAGCAGCAACTAGTGCAAGGCATCCATAGGAGAGGTTAAATGTATTAAAGGTACAATAAACACAATTACAAAGGTAAAGTTTGCAGAGCAATTGGATGGAGCAGTGGGCCAATTAATTAACACATTGATACTTCTGAGACCTGAGTTCAAGACAGTCCTCTTCTATACAATTATTTATTATTTAATACAATACGTATCGTACGCAATAAGAAAAAACTTTCTTCCGATAAAGAATTAAAATGTTGTATTTGATGTGAAAGATGCTACATAAATGTCAAATCACGTCACATTTCTGCAAGTGGTAGTGACTGTGTATTTGTAGGCTAACGTGGCAGCCAAATTACATGCAGCAATGTCTCACAAACAGACGTGAAGTGAATGACCAATTTTTATCTGGAGGGTTGTTGGTCAGGCGACTGAGAGAAACTCCCTTCTCTTTTCGAACAGTGCCTTAATACCTTTAATATCCAACTGCATAAGCAAGCAGGACCTTGGTTTATTGTTTCATCCAAAGCACGGCACCTCTACCAATATATTTTTCCCAGCGCCCCCAGGCACCGTGTTAGTCTGGCCGCCGACAAACTCCAAGACCTGATGGGGGTTTAAACCTATAACCTTCTGTCCCAAAGGTTTACAAATTTAACATTTTAAACTTTTTCTTTACAGCTTAATGGTGCACTCAATAAGACTGATACGTACATTACTTCAATAGTATTGAAACTCAGGTAAGGGAAAAACCCTTCAGTTTTACATCTATTTGAAACAAATGTTGACTATTTGATGCATTGAAATATAAATATACAGGGTGACCCTCATCGTATGTGGTGTTTGAGGTCCATAAAATTGCACATTGTATTAATTACAATAGGGTTGGGCTGGTCAAGTCACCGCTGGTGTGAAGCGCACGTGTGCAGGAAGCCTCTTCCAAGTGTTCTAGCCGGAGAGCTTACACCTGGCCATGTGGCTTCATGTGCCAGCAGTGGCAACACCAGAAGCACTTCCGATACAAGCAAACTTGTGCTTCGGCAAAGGCGTCTTATAGACTATAGTCCTGTAGCAGAAAGTACCAATAGCATCAAAATATAGGACATTGCTATCTCCCACCTCAGATTGTAAACCTCAGCAATGTCAGCACTGACTGGACTGGATTGGAGAAAATGGTCAGAAAGTTAGAGATTTGGGCTGATTTCTCTTGATTGTCAGTTAATTGAGACCTCTGGTGGAGAGAACAGGGAAAGTTACAAACAGTGCCAGAATACTGTAATTCCCAATGAATTTGAGTCCGATTGTGTCTGATTAATCTGATGAAATGTTTGCTGGACTCCCTCCAGCACTATTTTTTTTTTAAAAATGTTTTTTTTTGTTCTTTTAGTGCTGCAACCAAAACAATACAAGGATCAGAGCAGGAAAAAACAAGAAGCGCATGGTAAAAAGATACAAAAGCATGAGTATAATTAAGAGGAGTGAAAGCGAAAGCATCATTACACAAGACAACAAAATAGTAACCACTGTCCATCTCCTTCGTAATCGAATAGGCAGTTATTCAGTGAAAGCAACACCAGGAAATTGTAATGTGAAAATCAAGAAAGATATTAATTTCCCCACAGACCTTGGATAGATTCTTATAAATGTAATAATAATAATAATAATAATAATAATCCTTGCATTTGATATAGCGCTTTTCACGTCGGGAGGACGTCCCAAAGCGCTTCACAGAACACACTGTAAAGTGAATTGACTGTATATTTGTGGGCGAACGCGGCAGCCCAGTTGTATATCCTTGTCCCAACAAGAACAACAACACATTACATTTGCATAGCGCCTTTCACTTCGGGAGGACAATATTCCAATCAATATTGTTATTTCATTTGGTTGTAGGAGGAAGGCTGGGACTATTATTGCACGGGTTGTAAATATATTTGATAAAAATTCTCCTGTGGCAGAGAAAGATGTGAAAACTGCCATAAATGATGCTGCAGCAAGTCAACCTAACTCTATTTTTGCAAACTTTGAGCGTAAGTACTGTTATGTTATTTTTGAAGTTTTTTTTACAATATTTACAATTGGGTGGGTGGGTGGATGAGTGAGTGAGTGAGTGAGTGAGTGAGCGAGCGAGCGATTGTTGATACAAAATGAAAAACATGAACGCTGGTTTAATTTTGTGTAGCAATACTGTTAATTTATTTTCCTTTATTGAAGCAGAAATAAAATGAATGTGAAATAAAAGATTCACGTGCACGCATGAAATATCGGAATAAGAAAGACACTATGGCCAAAAAGTTGTGATATCTATCCTATTATCTAAAACAACGCATGACTATCATCATTTCTTTAAGACTTATTAGACATTCTTATGATATTTGTAATGGTATGACTTTTTAGTCGCCCTGTATATAAATTCTTAGCGTGGATACTAAACGTCAGAAAAGTAAACTATTTTCTTCCTCTTTTAACAGCATTGAAGGGATGCTCTCTAATTACATGTGAATCCCAAAGCACTTCAGGTTGTTCTGACAGCAATGGAACCCCACCTCAATGTATATGCGAAACAGGATATTACCAGCTAAATATTTATGACAGAGCATGCAAATTAGGTATTTACATTTAAACATTGTTTTCATATTCCAGCAAGACCACCTTACAGTTCTAATATTTACATCAGTGGAGTCCTGTAGCTCAGTGGTTAGAGCATCGCCTCATAAGCGAGAGACATGGGTTTGATTCCCGGGCTGGGCGAAACCTTGGGCAAGTTTCCTCACTCCACACGCCTCTGTTTACCCAGCAGTAAGTAGGAACCCGGTTGTTAGTCGATTGGCGGATCACTTTTCTGAGGTTAATAATTCCTTCAAAATATATTTGGTCACTCAATCCACGGCTGTTTGTGGGACGCTGCTGTGCGCAATTGGCTGCCGCGTTTCGCCCACAAAATATACAGTCAATTCACTTGACAATATATTCTGTGAAGCGCTTTGAGACATCTCGAAGATGTGATAAGGCGCTGTATCAAGTGCAAGGATTATTATTGTTATTGTTTGTTTCTAAATTGCTAATTATCAGAAGAATTATCAGTTCAAAGATTTACAAAGAATGTACAGTATGGAACCAGGTCAACTGGCCCAACCAGTCTGTGCTGAGTTTATACTCCATATCGCTATCCGCTCCTTGCTCCCTCCCACACCATTCTGTTCCCCTCTCCCTCATGTGAAGGTCTAGCTTCCTCTTGACTGTATGTAATATAAATAATAATAATCCTTGCATTTGATATAGCGCCTTGTTGCATATCTATATAAAAAAAACAATTTGTTTAACTAAAATATAAAATTAGCGACGGTTGCGTATTTTAATGCTATTTGATGACCTTTTGCTGTATTTTGGCTGTTAACGTCGGTGATATTTCAATGAGATTAATAGTGCCTAATGGCTATTTTCTACAACGCCTACTGTTGCAGGATGTGGCAACAAGTGTGTTGTTGAAAATCACAAGCAATGTATCGCAGAGTTCAATGTGACAGCTATCTGTGAATGTCTGCCTGGATATGAGAAAACCCGCAAGATGCAACATTTGAGTGCAAAGAGTTGAGTATCAGCGTTGAGTATAAAAACATTACAATCATAGATAAGATTTATTTTGGTTGTTTTATCAGCTATCTCATCAGGTCACAAGTACGGCCCGCAGTCACCCTCTTTACAGTTATCAATACTGAACTGGCCGAATCACCAAGTTATAAAGTGGGCCTGATTAGGTCTCTCTTGCAAACAGCCGGCACAGTCACGATGGGCCGAATGGCCTCCTTCTGTGCTGTAGTATTCTATAATTCTATGATTACCTGCATAAAGCCAATATTATTTTTCTGCCCTCAATTGAAATGTCTCACTGCAAATAATGCTTTGGGGACGTTCCAATGTATTCAACGGACTAACAGTCATGATTCTTACGCCTAAGAAACATGCATTGCCCTTGTCCATTGCTTCTTGTTCTGAACTCCCAGGTCTCCTTTAGAAACTCAATTGAATGGATAAAATGGAATAAAGTTAAATTGATTAAGTTAGATACCTTGAAAGATTCCAACATAACCTTTGAGCCACCTATGCTGAAGTATCGTCAACGGAGCATAATCATTCTCACACACCTGATTTATTACAAAGCTGAACATTTATCTACCGCAGTCTAAACTATGGCTTGATTTTGTTCATCAGATGTCGCTTTGGCTTTGGCGGAATCGACTGTAAGGATGGTAAGAATTGTATTCAATGACAAAATTCACACATTCAAATTAAAGAGAAATAAATGAAAATGGAGGATGACACGTATGAGTTTATGGAAGTGGACAGATGAATATTATCCCCACCCTGATCCCACCAGTTTGTGAAAACGAGAAGCCAATTAATAGGGAATACGCAATGTATTTTCAAAGTGATGTTTTTTTTAGCATAAAACTGAGGGGAGCTGTAGAGAAATATGCTTTTTAAAATTGTTAGTGTTCTAAAGGAAAGTATAGGGCGCATTAAATGAATTTAGTTGATATCATATAAAATTTAAACCATCAAGCTTTTTGCCTGTGTCTAAAATTGCAGGTAATTGCAGGCCGTATCCTCTGGTTGCTTTCCTTCATTTTACCTTTAATCATTTTGCCGTTATCTAAGTGAAGAAATAGCTGAGCAAAAAAAAAAAAAAATTGCAAAGCAGCAACGTTGATGTAAAATTTTAAATTTATTATTAGATTAATTATTCAATTTACTAAATGTAAAATTTAATGTAAGACTGAGGTCAAGTGTAAAATTTCAGCCTCAACGTGTTGCAGGAATCTATTGGGTAGTTATTTTGTGATGTACTTTTATTTGCAGGTTTTGAACTTGGCATTTTGGTGATTGGTGTGGCAGCAGGAGTTCTGTTACTGGGTATGGGAGCAGGTCTCATTTATATGTGTGCCAGGTAACTTTACTCATTTGGATATTTAATAAATACGCAATGATAGACTCAGTTATTGGGAGTAATTTCATAAGCTTGAAGATAAAATTTGTATCCGGTGTGAAATCATTACCGTGCCCTACCTATTTGATTTAGTTATGTATTCAGCTAAGAATTTCTTTACGTGCTGATTTAAGGATTTCAAAACATAGATTGTTTTATATCTCAAGTATTTTTTAAGGGCGAAACCTTAGCCAAGTTTCCTTACTCCACACGCCTCTGTTTACCGAGCAGTAAGTAGGAACCCGATTGTTAGTTGATTGTTGGATCACTTTCAGGGCTTAATAATCCCTTCAAAAAAAATTCATAATTGTCACTCAATCCCCGACTGTTTGTGGGACAGACGCCGCTGTGCGCAATTGGCTGCCGCGTTTCGCCCACAAAATATACAGTCAATTCACTTTACAGTACATCCTGTGAAGCGCTTTGAGACATCTCGAAGACGTGATAAGGCGCTGTATCAAATACGAGGATTATTATTATTATATTTTGATGGCTAACCTCGTTTTACAAATGCAGCAAGAAACGCAGCAAAACTGACCGTGAGCATCTCTTGAGCAACCAGCCGGAATTCAAGAAAGACCAACGATATGCGACAGGAAGGGCTGAGCAGTCGGATGCTCCCATGAGGATTCCGAGAGTCAACCCCGCAGAAAGTGACAATACAAACAGCAGATACTACGACGAAGTATGTTTTCGAAACGGGCACATCTTTGGGGTGGGGGTGTGTGGGGTAGCCCCAATGGTGTAGCGGGTACAGTTGGAGCTGGGCTGGGCATTCGAGCTGCTGTTTGTGTTGAGGTCGTGTTTATCTCTACATAGGATGTTGGTTGAAGCCTTTCCAGAGTAAAATTAGCTGTGATTATGGTCCGACTGTTCTTCAGTACCTCCACCAGCAGCTTATTACCGAGAGCTTACAGTATAGTCTGTGTAGCACTTTGCGATGTCTCGAAGCCGCGATGAGGTGCTGTATCAAATGCAAGGATTATTGTTATTATTATTATTTTCAATCATGACCTCATCTTAAATGTTTTGAAAAGCCCATTTGTAATAAAACAGCTCGGAACAAAACATGCCCGGGAGCAATTTATGCCTCACTGTTAATATCTTAGTTCAATTGTCCAGCACTTTTTTTTTATTTCTCCAATCTTGAGCATTATATTTTTGTGAACTGTAACTTGTAACCTCCTTCCAGATGTTAAGATATTATTTAATCGGTAAACCAGGTCCACTAGAGTAGCTTAAGGCAAAATCCTGCAGATGCTGGAAATCTGAAATAAAACAGAAGTGGCCGGGAACTCTCAGCAGGTCAGGCAGCATCTATGGAGAGACGAAAGTGAGTTAACGTTTCAGCTCCATGACTTTTTGTCAGAGTAGCCTATTTGACGGCTTTAAATGTTCCCCAATATTGTAGGTCTGTATTGTATTGTATTGATTGAAACCTACTATTAACTTCAGCAGTTACTTGCCCTAATTGTTTTCTGCTTTCCTTCAGGTTGAGAATTATGAGCCCCGAAACACAAGGAACTGGAATGATACTCCCATGCAGAAATACAACAGCGGAGTATATCAAAATGGAGCCATGGATTATAATTCTGACCGAAGGAGGCAATACTGATTTGCACCCAGCCCCCAATCTAGGCTTATTGTGGCAATCTCTAAAATTAAATAAATTAAATTCAAATTCTGTTCCGCCACATTGAATTGATTGATTGCTCATTGAATTTCGCCGTTCAGTTGATGGAAGCCCTCCACCACCTTGCCGCTTCCTAGCCTCTGTGACCTGTTAACATCACATCAACCTGTCCACTCCCTCCGCTCGGTGGGCTCTGGCCTGCTCCACGTCCCCAACCTGGCTCGCCCCACCATCGGCAGTCGGACCTTCAGCCTCTCTGCCCCCACCCTTTGGAACTTCATCCCATAGTCCCTTCATCTCGTTCCCTCCCTGGCCTCCTTGAAGGCACGTCTCAAATCCCTCCTCTTCGACCGCGCCTTCAGCTACCCTCCTACCCCCTACTCTCCACCCCTCCTGATGCCCACCCCCCCCCCCCCCCTCCCAGCTCAGGTCCAAATCCCTGACTGTCCAGGGCCTTGGGACATCCTCCCGATGTGAAAGGCTCCGTGTAAATGTCATTTGTTGCTACTGATTGTTTATTGAACTTCTACATTGAATCGATTGCTTATTGAACTGCTCCATTGAATTCAAACTTCCACCTCTTAGCCCAGCTGAGATGTACTTTTGATTTGTGTGACTTTCATATATCAATTAAATCATTTTCATATTACATTACCAAATTATGTCGTAAAGTGGTACTGATTGATCCCGAATTCCGCCAGTCTAACGAACTAAATAAGTCTTTCTCCTTTCTTGATGATACAATATGCTTTGCTAACAATCTGTAGCGCTATTGAAACAGCTGTAAGGTTCAGAGGCTTGTAATATAAGAATGAAAATTACTTTAAAAATAAAGGTTGTATCTCCAAAATCATATCAATTTTGTATACTGTTGTGGAATTTGTGGACAAACACTTCACAATATTTTGCGATTTTTTAAAAAAAAATCATAAGTTTCAACATTACTCCCAAACATCATTGCATGGTTTGTTTGCTGGCCTGGTTCAGTTGATGATAATAATCCTTGGATTTGATACAGCGCCTTATCACATCATTGAGACGCCTCAAAGCGCTTCACAGAACACACTGTAAAGTGAATTGTCTGTATATTTTGTGGGCGAAACGCGGCAGCCAATTGCGCACAGCAGCGTCCCCACAAACAGCCGTGGATTAAGTCGTCAATTTTTATTTTATTTTATGAATGTATATTTTTTAAATACCCGTTGCCTTCGTTCCTCCGGGTCTGGCCTCCTCCTTGTCCCCCGAGTCCTCCCCTCCACCCTCGGCGGCCGTGCCTTCAGCCACTGTGCCCCGAGGCTCTGGAACTGCCTTCCTCACTCCCTTCGTCTCACCCCCTCCCCATTTTCAGCTCTCTGCTGAAGACCTTTCTTTTCAACCGCACCTTTCCCCCCCCCCCCTCCCCCAGGCCCCCTCCCTCTGGCTCAGTCTCGGGATCCGTTACTGTAAAGCGCTCTGAGACGCCGTCTGGCGTGGAGGGCGCTATATAAATCCAAGTTGTTGTAAAAGGGATTGTTACCCACGGAAAGCGGGTAGGAAGTCGATTGGCGGATCGCTTTTCCGGGGGTAATAATCCCTTAAAGTAATAATAATAATTAGGTCACTCAATCCATGACTGTTTGTGGGACGCTCCTGCCCACAAAAATATACAGTCAATTCACTTTACAGTCTATGCTGTGAAGCGCTTTGAGACGTCTCGAAGACGTGGTAAGGCACTGTATCAAATGCGAGGATTATTATTATTATTATTATTATTACTTACCTGGCCTTAAAACTACACTCCCACCAGATGGAGCTATTCTATCGTACTGATCGTGGGTGGTGTCCAGACTTCATAATTCTAGTAAGATAATTGTGTGTTAATAGAGTTGTGAACTGGACATTCTGTGTCTGTAGCCATCAAAAACAATTATTATTGTGCATCAGATTTGTTCAAATCCAGATCCCATCTGAATGTAGATATGTTTATATTCTCCCCCCGAGTGCCAGAGCTCACACAACTCCTGTATCTTATGAAAGTGGCCAAAGTCAATTACTGTATAATAATAATAGTAATAATAATAATAATAATAATAATCCTTGCATTTGATACAGCGCCTTATCATGTCTCGGAGGCGTCTCAAAGCGCTTCACAGGATTTACTGCAAAGTGTAGTGACTGTATACCTTGTGGGCGAAACGTAGCAACTAATTGCACACAGCAGTGTCCCACAAACAGTCGTGGACTGAGTGACCAAATAACTATTATTATTTTTTTGAGGGATTATAACCCCCGGAAAGCAATACCACCAATCGACTGACAACCGGGTTCCTCCTGACTGCTGGTAAACAGGGGGGTGTTGGGGGGCCGCAGCGAGCCAGGCCCCTGTTACAGGCTGTTACAGCACTAGCCTCTGTTACAGGCTGTTACAGCACTAGCCCCTGTTACAGGCTGTTACAGTCCCAGCCCCTGTTACAGGCTGTTACAGTCCCAGCCCCTGTTACAGGCTGTTACAGTCCCAGCCCCTGTTACGGGCTGTTACAGTCCCAGCCCCTGTTACAGGCTGTTACAGTCCCAGCCCCTGTTACAGGCTGTTACAGTCCCAGCCCCTGTTACGGGCTGTTACAGTCCCAGCCCCTGTTACGGGCTGTTACAGTCCCAGCCCCTGTTACGGGCTGTTACAGTCCCAGCCCCTGTTACAGGGCTGTTACAGTCCCAGCCCCTGTTACGGGCTGTTACAGTCCCAGCCCCTGTTACAGGGCTGTTACAGTCCCAGCCCCTGTTACGGGCTGTTACAGTCCCAGCCCCTGTTACAGTCCCAGCCCCTGTTACAGGCTGTTACAGTCCCAGCCCCTGTTACAGGCTGTTACAGTCCCAGCCCCTGTTACAGGCTGTTACAGTCCCAGCCCCTGTTACAGGGCTGTTACAGTCCCAGCCCCTGTTACAGGCTGTTACAGTCCCAGCCCCTGTTACGGGCTGTTACAGTCCCAGCCCCTGTTACAGTCCCAGCCCCTGTTACGGGCTGTTACAGTCCCAGCCCCTGTTACAGTCCCAGCCCCTGTTACAGGCTGTTACAGTCCCAGCCCCTGTTACAGGGCTGTTACAGCTGTTACAGTGGGAGCTGCTGATTGGAAGGAGGCGCTGGTGATTGCGCTGTGGGGGTCGGGAGGGAAGGACATGTTGTGAGCGGCCGAGACTGGGGCCGGGGGTTGGGGTCGGGTTTGGGGTCGGGTTTGGGGTCGGGTTTGGGGTTGGGTTTGGGGTCGGGTTTGGGCCGGGGGTTGGGGTGGGGTCGGGGTGGGGTGGGGGGGGTCGCGGGGGCAGCGATGCTCACACACAGTGCGGTGGTGTATCTGTTCCTATTCTCTCCCGTTTGCCGTCCGTTCGCGCAGAATGTGAGAGGTGAGTCTCTGAGGGTTCAAACTGCCCCCAACTCACCAGAGGGTGAGGGAGAGGGGGGGGACCGAGTGTGAGAGTGAGGGAGTGAGTGTGAGAGAGTGAGTGTGTGTGAGTCTGTGAGTGACTGAGTGAGTGAGTGAGTGTGTGTGTGTGAGTCTGTGAGTGACTGAGTGAGTGAGTGAGTGTGTGTGTGTGAGTCTGTGAGTGAGTGTGAGAGTGAGGGAGTGTGTGTGAGTGAGTGTGAGAGTGAGTGTGTGTGAGTAAGTGAGTGTGTGAGTCTGTGAGTGAGTGAGTGTGTGTGAGTGTGAGTCTGTGAGTGAGTGTGAGTGAGTGTGTGTGTGTGATTGAGTGTGTGTGTGTGAGTGAGTGAGTGTGTGAGTCTGTGAGTGAGTGAGTGAGTGTGTTAGTGTGTGTGTGTATCTCTGTGTGGGTGTCTGTCTGTGTGGGTGTCTGTGTGTGGGTTTGTGTGGGTGTCTGTGTGTGGGTTTGTGTGGGTGTCGGGGTGTCTGTGTGGGTGTTTGTGTGGGTGTCGGGGTGTTTGTGTGGGTGTCTGTGTGGGTGTCTGTGTGTGGGTTTGTGTGGGTGTCTGTGTGGGTGTCTGTGTGTGGGTTTGTGTGTGAGTGTATCTGTCTGTGTGACTGTGTCCCTATGTGTGAGTGTTAGAGAGTGAGTGTGTGAGAGAGTGAGTGCACCAAACTCCGCTCCCCGACCCCCCCAGTCCTGGCCCTCCCCCCCCACCCCCACCCCCACACTCCGCTCCCCGACCCCCCAGTCCTGGCCCTCCCCCCCCACCCCCACACACTCCGCTCCCCAACCCCCCCAGTCCTGGTCCTCCCCCCCACCCCCACACTCCGCTCCCCAATCCCCCCAGTCCTGGCCCTCCGGCCCCCCACCCCCACACTCCGCTCCCTGACCCCCCCAGTCCTGGCCGGGCCGCACTGGCCTCCTATCCCAGAGAGGGTCCACTTCAAGACCCTCACCCTCGTATTCAAGTCCCTGCACTCCTCTGCACCCCCCGACCTCTCTGACCTCCTCTCTCCTCAAAACAGTACCCGTTGCCTTCGTTCCTCTGGCTCTGGCCTCCTCCTTGTCCCCCGAGTCCTCCCCTCCACCCTCGGCGGCCGTGCCTTCAGCCCCTGTGCCCCGAGGCTCTGGAACTGCCTTCCTCACTCCCTTCGTCTCACCCCCTCCCTTCCCATTTTCAGGTCTCCGCTGAAGACCTTTCTTTTCGACCGCTCCTTTGGTCACCTTCCCCCCCCTTCCCCCCGGCTCCCAGCACTCCCCCTGGCTCCCCCCCTTCCCCCGGCTCCCCGCTCCCTCTGGCCCCCCCCCCCCCCTTGGCTCGGTCCCGGGATCCGTTACTGTAAAGCGCTCTGAGACGCTGTCCGGCGTGGAGGGCGCTGTATAAATCCGAGTTGTTGTTGTTGTTGTTGTTGAGCGAGCGTGTGAGAGCGAGTGTGAGAGTGAGAGTGAGTGTGTGCTGCTGGTGATGTGTGTATCTGTAAGACATTTGACAAAAGTACAGCATTTTGTAAGAGCCCAAACCTGTTTGGTGTTCACGTGCTGCACAGTTGGCAGTTATACACAGCGTAAGCACCGTAACCGTAAGCACAACTAAAAAGGAAGGTCTTTGGGGGGGGGGGGCAGCAGATCAGATTGGCCGGGCGGTGCGAGGGCATGAAGGGATTTGAAGCTCGGCAGGGGATGGCGTGATGGGGGGGACGGAGGTTCTTGCGGGCGAGTATCCGGGCGGCGGAGTTGTGGATGAATTGAAGTTTGTGTCGGGTGGAGCTGGGGAGAACCAGCGAGGAGGGCACTGGAATAAGTCCGGGCGGGCAGTGACCAAGGCGTGGACGGATTGCACAGGCACGATTTGCCAGTTAGGATGTTTATTTGCACTTGTGTACATGCCTGGTCTGTGGAAACGTGTTGTATTTGTATCGAAAGGTCTCAACACGTGTACAAGTGGACATGCTACCTCGTGCCGCGATTGCCTGCTTATCCACCCTGACTGCGGCTGGTGTGTGGACGAGGTAGGGTTGTCTCAGGCTCCAGCAGTATTTTTGTTTTAAAAACCCCTGAATGTCGCCACGGGTGTAATTCTCCTGATCAATGGACTCTTTTCCCTCTTATCTGTTCTGCTGCCAATTATTTTCGATGGAAAAGATTTTTGCAGATTAACATTGTAGAAACCGCAGCAGTTTTTAAAAGGTTGTTGTTTCCAGTATCGTGTCTCTTATTATCTGGTTTTAAATAATAAGAGCAGTAATAAGTAATAATAATAATAATCCTTGCCCTAACCCTAAGTGAATTAACTGTATATTTTGTGGGCATAACCCGCTTGATTGATGGGTTTAGATGGCTATACTTTGAAGCGTTGCTTGTAGTTAAAAAAATCAATAATGATAATAATAATAATCCTCGCATTTGATATAGCGCTTTTCATGTCTTCGAGACGTCTCAAAGCGCTTCACAGAATAAACGGTAAAGTGAATCGACTGTATATTTTGTGGGCAAAACGCAGTAGCCAATCGCGTACACAAACAGTGGTGGATTGAAGTGACTAAACTATTATTGTTTTTTCTTCTTGAGAGATTATCATCAGGCATTTGGAGTAGGGAAACTTGCCCAAGGTTCGCCCGGCCGGGAATCAAACCCAGGTCCTCTCGCTTGCGAGCCGAGTGCTCTAACCACTGAGCTGCAGGACTCACATTGTACAGTCACTTACACAACTAACTTATCAGTTGGTATTTGTGACTGTGTTATGCCCCAACTGCTCCTTTGCTAAGATTAGTTTGAGTTCACTCAGCACACACTGGGATTGAAACCTGCACAACCTTTTTTGTTTGCGTGGCTCATTGATGTGCCCTGATGGAGTGGAAGCAATGCTGCAATTGTTGTAGACAGGAAATATTCATTCCATCTTTGCTTAACTTGTGCAATCCAGTTCCCTAAAGTAAGCAGACAGCATCGTGATTAATCATTTCTAAGATGCCACTGTAATAGTTTTCACAGTTATAGCATATCAGATATCGAGTTTCAGATGTGACCTTTAATGCTCTCGTATCTGTTACCCTGAAACAGAATTTCTGTGGTCAGAGCTCCGTGTAAAATCGGATGCTGAGCCCAATTTGGCTGCCGTGTTTTGCCCACAAATTCACTTTCCAGTATATTCTGTGAAGCGCTTTGAGATGTCTTGACACTGTGACAAGGCGCTGTATCAAATGCAAGGATTATTATCGTGTACTTCACTCTGCCAGGTTAGGGAAGTGATGGGGACAACAAAGGATCTTACTGCCATTTCAGGCTTCTAATCACAGTCTGTGGCTGCCTCTGTCTGCGTCGGATCTGTGTAACTTTTTTATGATCTATGTTTTGGGGGAGTTGAGGGTCTCAAACATTACTTAGCTTGGGGTTGAGGCTCTGGAAATGGAACGTAAGGCTTTGTGGAACAGCGTGGGGTAGGAATACACGGGGGAACATTAGGCAATTCACGTTATTTAAAGTAACGGACAGAATCCTGGGAGGGGAGCGGGGAGATTCGACAGGTGGATTCGGCAAGTCTACACACACCTGCGGTGTCAGCAGGGGTGACAGTTGGGCTGAAATAACTCTTCTATAAATAAACCCATTTTCACACAGCGAGCAGACTGTTAAACACTGGTGGCTTTATTAATGGTGCATCTGTTACACATCTCTGGGCTGCTGTACCACTTACTGCAGCTCTTTGTGTCAAGCCCTCCTTTTGTATTCAGGGTGCACTGAACACACTTCCGTCCACAGATCTCCTTCTTGTCCTGTAAGCAGTCAACTTGATCGATGTGTGAAAGCACCACTGGGCAGGAAGATAGCCTCAAACAAGTGTACGAAAGCAACTGTAAAATAATAATAATACCAATAACCCTTGCATTTGATAAGGTGCCTTACCACATCTTTGAGACGTCTCAAAGCACTTCACAGAATATGCTGTAAAGTGAATTGATTGTATATTTTTTGGGGGCAGAAAATAACAATTGGTTAATTCAAATATAAACTGAACTGCAGGAAGCAAACAAAATGCTCATGAACGGGAAATCAAAGTGTCCAATTTTCTTGAGGTGTTTGGAACAGGCTCCGAGACCCTCTTGATAGTTAAATGAAGACAATGACGATATTTTCTTTACAGAACCACACATGTTGTTGACTCGGTAAATGAGTTGAGATTCATTTTTTTTTGATTGTTTCCATTTTTACTTTGAAGGAATTTGGCCACAAGGGAACCATCTCTTCAAGATGTGACTTTAGGGATAACTTGATTGAAAGAGGATGCAGAAAGCAATTTATCGAGAGCCCTCAAAGCAGTATACGGATTGAAAGAAACTTCCTCTCAGCCATAAGGGATCAGGATCCACACAATCTGATGTTATTCAACTAACTCCTCAGAAGATTGCTCTCAGTCTAAGGCCAGGTAAGGACCATTTCTGTCTTAAGATCCTCTGATAATAATTATAATAATCCTGGCATTTGATATAGTGCTTTGTCACTTTGAGATGCCTCAAAGCGCTTCACAGAATATATTGTAAAGTGAATTGACTGAATATGTTGAGGGCAAAACGCGGCAGCCAATTGTGCACAGCAGCGTCCCACAAACAGCCGTGGATTGAGTCCAAATTATTATTATTTTTTTCAAAAAATAATTTGATACAAGTAATGTGAAGATTACCTTTTGACAGTGTTGTTTGTCTCTTCGCTCTTTCTTCCTTGAATGTATGATGTGATGCAGTACACATACAGGCAGATCCTCAATGTTCAGATGAAGGAAACGATCAACTCGTAAACATTTATTAAGCCAGTTAACTTGGCTTCTTCTGTTTAGAAACCATTCTGTTTAATATCCAGGCAGGGCAGTTTTGTCTGGCTTAACTGCATTTTATTTCATAGCTTACAGTAACATTCAGGTCACTGCAGTCAGACAATTTCCAAGTGCTCATTAACCCAGCTTCACTGAGCCAGATGCTTATGGTTCAAACCGAATTGGCTAACGTCATATTTTGAAGAATCTCGAGTATTTGTCAACACCCAAGCCTGTTTGTGTGGTGTATTTATGCTTGTTTAATCAAAGATTAATCCCATTATCTTCACCTGGTTTATATTGGCCATACGGTTACTAATTTGGTATCGGAGTTCAGATCTGAGAAAATCAAAATGTAGTAATAATAATAATCCTATTATTGTGATTAACTGTGTTTTTTGGGGGCGAGAGGGACTGTAACACGGCGGCCAATTGTGCACAAAAGCAAAGCAAAACCTTTTTTAAAAAAGGAAGATAAGATAAGATAAAACGTAAGAACTTTTAACCCTCTCAACCCCTTTGTGCAGATGCAGAGACCACGTTTCGAATGAAGGTGCGTCAGGTGGAGGATTACCCGGTGGATTTGTACTACCTGATGGACCTTTCACTCTCCATGAAGGACGACCTTGACAATATCCGGGTGTTGGGCACTACACTCTCTCGGGAGATGGCGAAGCTCACCAGCAACTTCCGTCTCGGCTTTGGGACGTTTGTGGACAAGCCCACATCACCGTTTTCATACACCGGATCCAAGTATCAGAACAACCCATGTCTAGGGTGAGTGAGGAAATAATCCACCATTTTATCCGGTCACTCAGTCCACTACTGTTTGTGGGACAGACGCTGCTGTGCGCAATCGGCTGCCCCGTTGCACCCACAAAACACACAATCACTTCACTTTACAGTGTATCCTGTGAAGCGCTTTGAGACGTCTCGAAGACATGAAAAGGCACTGTATAATAATGGAAAGATTATTATTATATTATTATTATCATTGTTAAAGGAAAGGATTCCCTGAGTGGCAAATCAGTGTATTTTTCATTTTCTGAGCAGTTCCTGATTTTGCCGAGTTTATATTTTGATCTGACTTTTCTGGCAATGTCCCCTTTTTGGGTGTGGGATATTGCACAATGGGGTTGAAATTCACGCCTGTCTAGACTGGACGTGTTTGCTGCTACAACTGCGGTGCAATTCTGTGAGCATCGTCAGTCCTTCAGCATTGTGCTCAACTGTGCATTGTTTATGTGTGAGCCTTGGCATTGAATACAGGGCAAGCCTAGTGTTGGGGACATAACAACAAGCCCAATGATGGTTTCCATCTGACATCAATGTACATTGTACAGCATGACACACAGGCCAGTGATCAGCAATAGAAGATGATTGTGTAAAAAAAAAAAATCCTGCGTAAGCTATTTAATGCCCACAGAACAGCTTCCACTTTCCGAGCTGCGCTGTCTCACATTGGCTTGCGATTGGAAGCTCATTTCATGGAACTGTGGAGTCCTGTAGCTCAGTGGTTAGAGCACTTGCCTCACAAGCGAGAGGAACTGGGTCTGATTCTCAGGCAGGGCAAAACGTAAGGCACGTTTCCTCACTCTACACACACGCCTCTGTTTACCTAGTCGTGGATTGAATGACCAAATTATTATTGTTTTGTATGCATGTAACTGGTTGGTGTTGAGTGAGTGAGTGGGGGCGGTGGGGGAGCTATAAGTGGCCTCTGCATTAGAAGTACGATCAGCTGTGGTTTCTGCTCCTAATTCTGTTCCAGTGATGGTTTCTGCAACAGCGTTTGTTAGTTCAGACATCAGGTGCAGAGTGTGTAACTGAGTGCAATGATGAAGCGGCAGATTGTCCTTGACCCTTCCCCCGTGTTTTTGGTGCAGGTATAAGTTATTCCCACAATGTGTCCCGTCCTTTGGTTTCCGGCACCTTCTGTCACTGACTGACAAGTCCGACAAATTCAACGCAGAAGTCCAGAAGCAGTTGGTGTCAAGGAACCGCGATGCCCCAGAAGGTGGCTTTGATGCTATCCTGCAAGCAGCTGTCTGTAAGGTGAGCATCCCATTCAGTCACACCCTCGACCCCTGAACCAGACGATACAGTCAGCAACTGAAGGGGTAAACTCAAAACAAATCTGTGGAAACTCGACTTCCATGAGCGAGGAGTAAACTGATGGAAAGGCTCCCAAGGGAGACAGACGATGGAAGCAGAAAATGTTGTTTGTTTCAAGAATAAATTAGATAGGTTTCTGCTAGAAAATAATATCTTGGGATACAGTCTATAGTTTGGGACACGACATGTCAAGTGACTGCCAGGATGATGGAAGGCGAACTAGATGGACCTTGGTCTTCTTTCGCATAGCAAATGTTCTTCTGTTCCATTTTAACACTGACCACTACATAAATAGATACGACAGTCCAATTTGATCTAATCCCATAAATTTAGCATTTGCCTGCAAAATACACATTCACTACACTCTGCAGTAAATCCTGTGAAGCACTTTTAGACCTAGTTCTCTCGATGTGAAAGAGGCGTGTGGAGTAAGGAAACTTGCCTAAGGTATTGCCCTGTCCCGGAATCGAACCCGGGTCCTCTCACTTGCGAGGCGAGTGCTCTAATAACTAAGCTACAGTTGCTGCAAAAGCAATTATTAGGACATTGGGTGAAGACAGGAATAGGCTTGGCTGTGATGCATTCCACAGCCAAATAGCCTGTCAGTTTGAACTGTGAGGGCTCAGACTCAAAAACTTTGCCAGAGGGGAAAGATAAATATTCTATTTTAATTTGACAACAACCGTGGCTGAGCTGAGCTTCTAAGCAGTTGAGGGATTAATACCTTCATAAATCACGTCCAGAATATTTGGCTGTTAATTACAGAACCAATGTCCATGCTATGGTGGGTCGTGGCGCAGTTTCTGCTGCTGATTCTTTCAGCCAGGATGTTGTTTGTGCATCTTGAAAATCCAGAGCTCCATAAACTTCCAAGAGATCATCTGTTGTGGTTTTAACATGTACGTCTATTGCAGCTCTTGTCTTTTTTTTCTATGTAATTTGTAAGGTTATTGAGTTAAAGTTTGTTGTCTGGGACAACTGCCTTGCATTATTGTGACATAATGTTCAGCTGGTTCAGAGGAGAGCTCGCAGTGCATAGTAAGTATGTGCTCCATTGGCTCCAACTTGAACTATGTGTTCAGCTTGAGACAAATAACTTCTACACTGTGCAGTCCTGTAGCTCAGTGGTTAGAGCACTCGCCTCGCATGCGAGAGGACCCAGTTTCGATTCCCAGGCAGGGCAAAACATTGGGCAAGTTTCCTTACTCCGCACACCTCTGTTCACCAAGCAGTACGTAGGAACCCAGCTGTTAGTCGACTGGCGGATCACTTTTCAAGGGTAATAATCCCTTCAAATAAGTAAATTAGTAATAATAATTTGGCCACTCAATCCATGACCGTTTGAGGGACACTGCTGTGTGGAATTGGCTGCGCATTTTGCCCCAAAAATTCCAGGTCACTACACTTTACAATATATTCTGTGAAGCGCTTTGAGACATCTCAAAGACGTGATAAGGTGCTATATCATATGCAAGGACTATTATTATTAAGCAGTTTCAATGACATTTTCAGTACCAATCAGAGAGAGAGGAATTAGCCATTGATTATTCCTAGCCCAGGAATAATCAAATTGAAGAGAAGCCGGGTTTCAGGATCATATTTACTTGATTTTGGTCCTACCATTCCTTCGTCCCTGGAATTATTGACGACTTCAGATGGGATGGGAACTGTTTCAGTGGTTTCTGCTTTACCTCTATAGTTTAATTCACATTTGAGAAGCTCTCTCTCTTTCTCTCCCTCTCACTCTCTCGGTGTTCGTCCTTACAGATGGATTGTATTAAGTAACATCTTTCTCTGTTCCGCATCCACCCTCAGTAAAACCATTCTGCATTTTCTTTAAAGCGCGGAAAGATAAACCTTCCGTTACCAATTCCCGAGCCCAGTTCTATCAAGCAAGCGATTTCTGTTATTGCAAATTATGCTTGGAATGTGTGCACTACTCTTCTGTTAGTAGCTGATGTGCAGTCCCCTATGCATTTATTGCCAACAAATTTCAGATTATGAACTCGTCATGAGAAGCATACGTGATTACATATTGTTCATTAAAGTTGCGCAGTGTCAGTCAGCTCAGAAAATGTTCAACGCTGAACTCCACAGTATATTAATCAAAGGAACATTTATTGAGAGAAAATTATTTTTTTATGATGAATTTGAGATGAGGATGGTGCCTGGTGACTATTATTTGCTGAGGGAAACCAAAACATTTGTTAACAGATGAAAAACAATAAATTCCCTGGAACTGTAATGAAATCTGCGTTGTTTATGTATGTTTCTTCATTTTCCACACAGAGTATGCAGACAAAAACTTTTCAACCTGTAATCTACTTCACTAAACATAGGGTAATGGTTAAGTGGCCACTGCAAGATGGATAATTCTAAGGCTTGTGCTGCTTGGATCTGTTTCTCTGTATTCTAGCTGAAAGGTAGACTAGATGGTTCTGTGTTTTGCCGAATCCCTTAGTATGGATCGTGCAGAGATTGTTTCAATGATCCTAAAACTGCCCATTTTTACCCACAGCCAAAGTTTACAAATAATAATAATCATCATAATCCTTGCATTTGATACTGTGCCTTATCACGTCTTCGAGACGTCACAGAATATTACTGTAAAGTGAATTGATCTATATTTTGTGGGTGAAACGCGGCAGCTAATTGCGCACGCCAGTGTCCCACAAACAGTCGCAGATTGAAGGAACCAACTTATTATTTGAAAAAAATGTAATCAACAACTTGTAACCTCATTTGTTTCCTCAGGAAAAAATCGGCTGGCGGAAGGAGGCTTCTCACTTGCTGGTGTTCACAACAGATGATGTCCCTCACATTGCCCTGGATGGCAAGCTTGGTGGCCTGGTACAACCCAATGATGGGCAATGTCACCTCGAAGAGATTAATGAGAGCTATGAATATAGTGCCTCCACACAAATGGTGAGATTAAACCAATCGCCTTAATCTGACCTACAGCTTGTTCTTGATTGTCCAGGAAGTTTCATTTTAATTTAATCGCATTTGCATTATTCTGGCACTTTAGTTATCAGCGCCTTGGAACATCCTCCTGACGTGAAAGCCAGTATACAAATGTAATTTGCTGTAGTTGTTGCTGTTTTTATCCATAGAAAATGTGCCTCAAGTTGTCTGATTTTTTTTCTCTAATGTTTGGGTCACAGTGAACGCAGATGTCGGTTGGTGTTCAGACTTAAAAACTGAGTCAAATTGAACTCGATAAGGGTTCTAATGAAACGATCGAAGCAACCGAGACATAAAACCAGGGAATTCCTCATGAAATATGCTGTCAGCAATTTGCCTTTTGTGTTGCATGTCCCAGGATTACCCATCACTTGCCCTCCTTGGAGAAAAGCTGGCGGAGAACAACATCAATTTGATATTTGCCGTGACCCAGACCCACTATATACTCTACAAGGTATATTCTGTGTGTTCCGATGCCGATTACAGAGTGCAAAGAGCGTATCGTTCAATTTGACTTTATCTGTCCCCTGCAATAAATACGTCTTTGTTCCCCAAAGAATTACACTCGTCTAATTCCTGGGACAACGGTGGAAATCCTTGACAAAGATTCGAAGAATATCATCCAGCTGATTGTAAATGCTTACAGTGTAAGTTGTCTCCTATTCACCTGTAGAAAAAAAAAACACCTGTCAGGAGCTGAGGCGATGCAAATTGGCAAAGGCTTTGAAATATGTTTTTGCTTTTGAAACTCAGTATAGGCCATATGTGTGTCTTTCAAGTAGTTGTGCTAATGATTTGACCATTCACAGTCATTTGCGTCACCGCTTATCAAAAAGCCAACAAAATATGTGATGATAATAATAATAATATGATGGTTAAAAATGCTGGATGTGAAAAATATTTTCAGAAGTCAATTCTGGATTGCCTTATTCTCTCATAACCTAAACAAGCAGCAATGTGGCTTTATCTCTGGATTAACCATCTTTGAATTAATGCCAAACACATAGGAATTTTGAGTGTTTATATTTATTTGATGAGAACTGAACTGGCTGCTTCCTCACTTCCATCAAAAGTCAGTAATGCTCAATCTGCAACTCTGATTTGATTTCACTGTAAAAAGGTTCGACTGTAACAGTAATAATCCTCGCATTTGATATAGCGCCTTATCACGTCTTCGACACGTCTCAAAGCGCTTCACAGAATATACTGTAAAGTGAATTGACTTTATATTTTGTGGGTGAAACAACTTGCTATAATATCATATATACAGATTGATGACCTGACCATAACCTTTATGAATGTTGAATCGTGCCTCCTTTATAAACTCGGGCAAAGTTCCTTCATTATTATTTTAATTTACTTTACTGACTTTATAGGTGAACTCATTCACCCTCTGTTAAGCAACAGGCCCCAGACGGAAACTGAGTGCTTCCATCAGTCTTGTTTTTAAGGAAATGATATTTGTTTAATTGTAAACTCATGCTGACAAAAGTGTCCAGTTTCGCCCCTGACTGTTCACAATAGGCCTGGCCTGCCGTACACTGGGAAAGTAAATCTGTGCTTCCATCACATAACAAAGGGCAAAGGCAGGAGAGAACATTTCGCCCCGGCGGGAGTTGAACTCTGGATACTCTCGCTTGCGAGGCGAGTGCTCTAACCACTAAACAACAGGACTCCAGCTGATGAGGAATCTGTTTATCCATTGTTTCTTCTGATAATAATAATAATAATCCTTGCATTTGATACAGCGCCTTATCACGTCTTTGAGAGTCTCAAAGCTCTTCACAGCATATACTGTAAAGTGAATTGACTGTATATTTGTAAACTAAATGTGGCAGCCAATTGCACACAGAAACGTCCCACAAACAGTGGTGGATTGAAGTGACCAAATTAGTATTATTTTCTTTGAAGGGATTAGTGTTATTATTATATTATTAGTATGATCATACTGAAATGCTTGTGTTTGTCTTCCTCTGTTGCCTAGAGTATCCGGTCTAAAGTTGAGCTCACCGTATGGGAACAACCAGAAGACATCAACCTGTCCTTGACAGCCACGTGTCAAGATGGTGTTTCCCGCCCTGGGGAGAGGAAGTGCGGTGACCTGAAGATCGGGGACACTGTAAGTATTGGAGTTTGGGTCATCGTGATGTGATGAGTTTTATTAGACCCCGTGATTTGGTGTCATTTTTTTTACTAAGCTATATCAGTGCAAAGCCTTAGGCAAGTTTCCTTACTCCACAACATACACCTCTGTTTACCAGCAGTAAGTAGGAACCCGACTGTGAATCGATTGATGGATCGCTTTTCCGGAGGGTAATAATCTCTTCCAATAATAATAGTAATAATTTGGTTACTCAATCCACGACTGTTTGTGGGACAGAACCTGCTGTGCGCAATTGGCTGCCGAGTTTCACCCACAAAATACACACTTTACACTCATTCCACTTTACGATACACTCTGTGAAGCGCTTTGAGATGCCTCGATTACTTGATAAGGCGCTATATTAAATGCACCAATTATTATTATTAACTCAATAATGAGGGAAACTCTATTTAGGACAGTTTTTTTTAGCTTAAGTTGGAATTTAGCTTAAGTTGTGTTGCCAAAGTGTAGGAATTTGAGCCAGTTGTTGAGTCCTGGAAAGTGGGAAATAACATAAGCACTGATCCCTTGGTTGTATTTTCCTCGGGCTAGTCAATTAACTAACGCTACAGTGAACAACTGGCACAGTGCACGAATCCAATTCAGGATGCTTCCACGGTTGACTGCAAATTCTGTATTAAGGTCAGAATAGATTTAGTGCAACCACGGTAAAAGCTAAATAATTTGTCATACAGTGTTAACATTTTTATTTGTTCGTATCTGAATGGGAGAGGATAAAGCTGATGACATGTGCGCAGCTTTTCAGGTTCAATGTGACTTATACGAGGTTAAGGGCAACAGTGCTAAAATAAATAGATTTTTTTTATTTGGTGAAACGCAATAAATCTCACAGTGTCTGCCTTTCTCCTTTAGGGAGTTAGTGCACGATAACAGATCATCCAAAATTGTCAACCATTTTTTAAGGGGGAGAATTCTTTATTTAGTTTTAACTGGAATGTTAAAGATAATGTTTGAAAATAATGGGTGGTGTTTTTATTGCCAATCCTGATTTCTTCCTTTTGACTCCAGTGGCTTCGTCCACCTCGGGTTTAACCCTTTGGAGACTGCACAAGAGTAGAGAAACAAAACGGGACTCCCGACTCGCAAATTCACTGAAATTAAGTTCAAATGGAGAAGAGCCTTATTACATTACCATATTTCCTCTGCATGAGACAAAGTTTGCCCTGACAACAAAATACACAGTCCACAAAACGACCACAAAAATTTTCGCCCAAAAAATTCACTTGACAGAATGTCTGTGAAGTGCTTTGAGGTGTCTTGAAGACATGGTAAGGCACTGAATCAAACGCAAGGATTATTATTAATATTATAGCTTGGATACTTTTCTCAGGTGTCCTTTGACGTGACCGTAAAAGCGAGGAGTTGTCCAGACTACCCGACAAGAAACAGCTTCACCATAAAACCCGTCGGCTTCAAAGACTCGTTGAACATAACAGTCAGCTATGACTGCAGCTGTGACTGCATGAGCCAGGTAGACGTTAACAGCTCCAAGTGCAACAGTAATGGGACCTACGAGTGTGGGATCTGTAAGTGTGACCCCGGCTTTCTGGGAAGCAAGTGCGAGTGTGAGGAGGGAGTGACCAGTGTGGTGTCTCACTCTCTGTGCCGGGAGGCGGAGGGCAAGTCTATCTGCAGTGGCAGGGGAGAGTGCAGCTGTAACCGCTGCGTCTGCTACGAAAGCGAGTTTGGGAGGATTTACGGGACATTCTGTGAATGTGATGACTTTTCGTGTGCAAGGCACAAGGGCATCCTCTGCTCAGGTAAGATCAAACCTTTGGTTCTTTTATTGTAATTGTGGAGCCCTGGGACACTAGCCTGTGTGAGGGGCCCTGTATAACTGCAAGTTGTTGTTGCTGTTATGAGAAAGTGCATATTGCTTTAACCGTATAACCTCAAGGAGAGAAATATTGCTTTCTTAAAATAAGGCTGCAAATTCCATGAGAGCTTTCCCTGTGGTAAGAACCATGGATTGGGACTGTCACAGTTTTGTAATTATAATAATAATATAATAATAAGTCATGTTGTGTACAATATGCAATTGTCTTTACACACTTGGATAATATAATACATATAAATGTGCTTACATACATACGTATGTATGAGTGTACTTCAAATTAACGTCTCTTTCAGATGAGGATATTTTGATATTAAAGAACAAGTGTGATCCCATTCCAACCCACACTCTGGGCTCCCCCACCCCCCCAAGCCTCGGCTCTTGCCGACCTGTGCCTAATACTCTCCGGAATTAGGTAAGCAGGATGTGTCCTTCCAGAGAGAGAGAGAGAGAGAGAGCGCATTCCATTCCAACAATCTATCACTGGGATTTTCATGTGTTGGTGGGATTTGTGGAATTCTCAGCTTGGTTTGGAGACTCTTAAGCCACGGTGATGGGTTTCCACAAGTGTCAGACACCCGGCTGACACCCCCAAAAAAAATCCCATCCCAGGGATTTCCTTTGGGATATCTTGATTCTGTGGGGGGCGCGGGGGGAAGATATTTGTATCAAGTGTTTGATGCCATATCTCGGAGTGACAGAAGAAGAGTGAGCCATGTTGTCAGTGAGACAGGATGTGTGCGAGTGTTTACAACACAAGCACAGCAGCTCTGAGCTCCTCACGTTCTCTATAAACTAGCAATTTGGTAAATCAGCTGCGTTTGGGGACCAGCGCAGGTGTACTGCTCTGTGGCTCTGTCTCTCTGGATGTGAAACAGCAGTGTTTATTTAGCAAAGGCTGTTCAGAAAACTATCAATTTGCAGTAAAACACAGTTTAGTATAGCTCGAAAAACACTAGAACAAGAGGTATAATTTTCTCCAGGCCAGGTGTCCACCCATGCCAGTAACAGTACCACTCCCGCCTTGAATCTTTTTCTTTATTATTCACACAACTGTAATAGTCACTACTAATGATAACCATAATCATTTGGTTTAGCGCCTTTCACATCGGTGGGGGAGGGGGGGGATGTCTCAAAGTGCTTCACATGATTTACTGTGATGTGGATTTGTCGGCAGCTCAATAATACAGAGTGACCCACAAACAGCCATTAAACGAATGACCAATTTTATTTGGGGGAGTTGTTGGCCAGACACCAGGAGAAAGTCTCTTCTTTTTTCGAAGCGTTATATCAAATGCAAGGATTATTATAGTAAATATATAAATGCTGGGCAGAACGAGGAGGCAAATTGCTCTGAATATTTCTATTACATGAAGTAACAACTATTTAGGAAGCTGCAGATGGGTTCAGAGTAACTTAAACACTGATGAGATAGTTTCCCTTTTCTGTTAGTCTGTAATTGAGGAAGCTATGAAATAGACTGTACTTACTGCAACCATTTACAATTGCCACTCGCCTAACGTCATAGTTGAACTAGAAATTCAGCCTTAATGCTGTTAGGCAACATGAGCATCGTGACATTATTCTTAATCAGTAAACTTCCGGTGGTGGAGAGAAACCCTAAATAGTATGGTGTGTGGGTTTGAAAATAAAATTGTATGCTTCGCCAAAGAAACGACCTAGCTTTTGCAACTACTCTTTGCTGAGTTTCTATTCTCAGATCGGACATTTTTTTTTATAATCCTGTTACTATTTTACATAGATGACATTATGTTGTGCACATTTCCGAATAGTGCAGTTACAAAATAGATATATATTGCCTTTATCTGTTTTGTTTTCCGGTACCAATGTCTGTCGAACGATAAGTTGGTATTGAGAGTAATACAAACTGAAACGGCTTTTGTTCCAAACACGCATTTGTCAGATATTCAGGCTGAGTTTGTGAGAAAAAGAGTACAGAGGCGCATTCCTTCACAAGTGCAGTATTACGGTAATACAGTGGAGTCCTGTAGTGTAGTGGTTAGGGTACTCACTTCATAAGTGAGAAGACCTGGGTTCGCTTTCTGGGAAGGCAGGGTGAAACACTGGACAAGTTTCTTCACTCCACACGCCTCTGTTTTCCGAGCAGTAACTAGGAACCCGGTTGTTAATCGATTGACGGATTGCTTTTCCGGGGTTAATAATCCCTTCAAAATAAATAAATAAAAATAATTTGATCGCTCAATCCACGACTGTTTATGGGACGCTGCTGTGCGCAATTAGCTGCCGCGTTTCACCCACAAAATACAGTCACTCCGCTTTACAGTATATTCTGTGAAGCGTTTCGAGACGTCTCAACAGTGTGATAAGACGCTCTATCAAATGCAAGGATTATTATTATTCCTTCACAAATACAGTATTATTCTCCAAAGTAAGTTCCAAGTCGTAGGATTTCTGTAAACACACAATCCCTAGTCAGTGGGTAACCTCAGTGGCCTCAGCACATTCTTATAGGATCCTATGGTTACACTGTGTCTGTGAGGCTGAAAGGAATGATTTAGTATTCAGTCTTCTACATCACCAGCAGCACAAATGTCATTGATTCCATCTATTAGCGAGCAGATGATGCTACGTGGAACTATACTGTCCAGTCTTCAGTTCAGGGCTACAGAGAGTGATATTTTTGTAACTTTATCTCTTGTTATTCAGGCAATTAACTCTTTGTGCAGCAAAAGACTTTAAGCTTTCAAAATATATAATGCTTCTCTTTCAGTTACTGCTGAAAGTCCTGTGGAGTGCTGTAGCTTAGTGGTGAGAGCGCTCGCCTCGCAAGCGAGAGGATTTGGGTTCAGTTCCTGGGCAGGGTGAAACGTTGGGCAACTTTTGTTACTCCGCAGACATGCCTCTGTTTACCTCGCAGTAAGTAGGAACATGGTTGTTAGTCGATTGACGGATGGCTTTTCCGGGGGTAATAATCCCTTTAAAAAATAATAATAATAATAATAATTTGGTCACTCAATCCATGACTGTTTGTGGGACACCGCTGTGCGCAATTGGCTGCTGCATTTCGCCCATAAAACATAGTTAATACACTTTACAGAATAAAACACAAAATACTGCAGATGCTGGAAATCTGAAAACCAAAACAGAAGTGGCCGGGAACACAGCAGGTCAGGCAGCATCTACGGAGAGAGGAAAGTGAAGTTTCAGTTCTGACGAAGGGTCGTGGACCCGAAACGTTAACTCACTTTCCTCTCTCCATAGATGCTGCCTGACCTGCTGAGGGTTCCCGGCCACTTCTGCTTTTGTTTTCACTTTACAGTATATTCTGTGAAGCGCTTTGAGACGTCTTGAGGATGTGATAAGGCGCTGTATCAACTGCAAGGATTATTATTATTATGTTGATGATTTACTCTTCATCTCTGTATTCGTACCAGCAGAAGCTTGCTTGGCACAGACACATTGACCTTTGTAAAGTGATTTTGATTGCTGGAATGTAACTCTTTATTCAAACATGACGTTGAATGGCTACCAGTGTGCTCGGAGAAACTATTTCTAGCATCCTTGTGTACTTTGATGGCACTTCAGATAGTTGCAGTTCAGAACTACACTCGTTACCAACCCATTCCAACCTTATCCTGGGGAGAGCTGCTGATTTGAGCTTGTTTTAAGGAGTTCTAAGGAGTGAGTAGAACAGGAAGACCTTTAGGCTGCGCAGTGTATAATACAGGGGATTGTGTGGAGGGCAACGGTAATTAGGCCGGGAAGTGCATTGCAGCACAGACTGAGATGCCTTCTGGTTCGAGAGCTAATTAGAGGAGCTGCTCTGATACACAACTTAGTTTGCAGGAATTGCACTTTGTCTTCTTAAAAAGTCTTTGTAGATTAGTTCCTGCCTTCTAACTGCCTGCCCCTAGTAGGTATTGGGTCAGACTTCTCATGAGACAGAATTATTATTTGTACAACAAACGCATGGAGGCACAGAGAGTACATTCAATGAGCAGTCCAGCCTGAACCTATAATAATCCTTCCCGTTTGATACAGTGCCTTATCATGTCTTCGAAACGTCTCAAAGAACTTCACAGGATATACTGCAAGATGAAGTGATTCTGGGTGAAACGCATTCCCATTGCTGGGTTGAAGATGGTCTATATATCAATGACTGAGTTATGACAAAGATTCCCTGGAATTGTTTTCATGTTTAATATCTGAATTGATTCTGTTTCTGTCGCTGTCTGGAGCAGTGGCCAACACATGCAGACATGTACACAGTGACACTCGCTGAGGTTCATCTTAACCCACGCAGTTACACAGTGGCTATTGTAAACCCAGACCCCAGAGGGGAAAGCACAAAGGGTCAAATGTACAGCTCAAGTCATTGATCATATCCAATGTGCCATGAGCCCACCCCACCCCCAACACCATTCTCAACGTGAAGTCCGAAAAACTGGGTTATAGAATCAAAAAGAAATATATAGTGGATTGCTTTTCTGGGTGTAATGATCCCTTCAACAACAACAACAAAAAATTGGTCACTCAATCCACTACTATTTGTAGGATACTGCTGTACGCAATTGGCTGCCGAGTTTTGCCCACAAAGTATACAGTCACTACACTTCACTGAATATTCTCAAAGACGTCTCGAAGACGTGATAAGGCGCTGCATCAAACGCAAGGATTATTATTATTATTTTATAATCTAGAGCCAGTGATTTTCATCTGACGGAGGATTAATGGCAGAGGCAGAATGTTTGGCCAGCGTGTTTCAGATTCCTGGAATGGTTCGTTTTTCCCATAAAGATGTGTTTCTTGCTGTCACTTTGCCCAACAGCTGTTACTTAAGGGGATGGTGCAAGAATGACATTACTGATGTGTCTGGGAGACCGGCTGAGTCAGACACATAATAATCCTTTGTGAAGCCTGATTTGCACATCTGAAATTAAAACA